ACTGGGTAAATCAGCATGGCAATTTCTTAGTTGGGGATCGACCTACCTCAAGACCCTGCAAAACCACTTTTGGGCATATACCCAAAGGAGGCACATTACACCACAAAGACATTTGTTCAGCTATGTTCATAGTAACATTATTTGTAATGACCAGAACTTGGAAACAACCTAGATGCCCCTCAACTGAAGAATGGATAAAGAAACTGTGGTACATTTACACAATGGAGCATTACTTAGAGGTAAGAAACAAAGAGGAAAAAAAAAATCGTGAGTGAAGTAACACAGACCCAGAAAGACAAATATAGTATATACTCACTCATAAGTGGATACCAGACATAAAGCAAAAAATATCCAGCCTATAGTTCACAACCCCTGAGAAGCTAGAACCCTCTTCCAGAAACAGATGGAAGCAGATGCAGAATTCTATAACTAACCCATGGGCCAAGCTCCTGGAGTACAATCAAAGTGAGGGAGGATCGATAATATGAAGAAGTCAAGACCATAATGGGGAAACCCACAGAATCAGCTGACCCAGGCTAGTGACTCAGGTCTGACAAATGGGGAACTATTCTCCTTTAATGTAGGTGACAATGGTGCGACTGGGACAATATATGAGGCCATTGGCAGTGGGACCAAGATCTAACTCTGATGCACAAACTGATTTAGTGAAGTTCATTCTATATGGAGAGATGCCATGCTCAGCCTAGACACAGGGCAGTTGGTAGCAGGGAGGTGCCTTGGTATTGCCTCAGTGAGATGATGGAACAGTCTTAGTAGACTTCCTAGGGGAGGCCTTACACTCTCCAAGGAGCAGATAGGAGGTGGGGTGAGGGGAAAGTAAGGGGAACAGGAGGACAAGGAGGGAGGGGGATTGGAATGTAAAAAATAAATAAAAAAAAATTATCCGTTTGTTCATCTTAGCCTCTCTCATTTGAACTTAAAGATTCTAAACAAGTATTGACTACCAGTGAAAATATTCTGTCTATATAAGAGTTAAGGTATTTTTATTAACTGGTGAGAATCTACCAAACAGTAGCAAAAATGTTGTCTGTAGGTTGACATGGAAGCACGTGTGGTTTGCCCGTGGACTCTATGTACATGGGTCATTCTGAAGCCAGACTTGTTTTACAGTTTAGGCACCCGCAGAATGCTCTTGTGAAAGGACTGCCAGTTCTCATTCTAAGTTTTCTGCACATTGTTACTCCCAAGGTTACGAAGCTGAGGTGTCTGCTCTTTTAAATGAAGTCTGTTTTCTCCCAGGGCAGAATCTTCTGTATGCATACCATCATGCCCTAGAGCTGGCCTGGGGAAGGGTTGCTCCCTGGCTTTCTAGCCTCACACTGAATAGGTTTAATTGGTTGTTTCAGCAGATTAACTGGTAAGCATTCATATGTAATATCTTCTTCATTCTTCAATGCCCTACTTTCCGTGTAGCCTTGCAATCAAGTGTGTATTGACTTGAGTATGCTGCAATCATCTGGTAATCATTTGGGGAAAAAAAGTTTCCTGTCTAAATTAAAGGAAGACTGGAGTTTTAAAGTTCACTGTGGCATCTTGTATAAACTCCAGCTTATGTTTCACATTATTCCTGGTCATGAAACAGGTTCTGAAGAAAAAGTAGCTGTGGATAATCAGTTAGAGAACGACAGCTCCCCTGATGTGCTGATCAGTAGTAATACCTAATTTCGATTTTGAGTGTGCTGTAATGGATTACCATATAGATACAGCTGAGCACTGAGCATTAAACAGAGCCACGTGTTTTCCAGAAAAGTAATATTTATTCATGCTGTGTGGCTTTCTTGAAATATTTTTTTATTTTATTCTCCAGTGAAACTACAAACAAGATGTCAATAGCTTATGTGGCATTCACAGCAGTATAGCTTAGACTATCAGCTGCAGTACAAGAAATGCTGCAGTACAAGAAATGCCAGATTGCATTTGCCTCACCAAAGGTAGGCTTCATCTGGGACTTCTGAGGCACAGGCTTAGCATTTAGACTAGGAAGTTGTGTTTGGCTTTGTATTTATTGACACTCATAGGATTTAATCAATATAAATTAGCCCTCACAATATTAGTGTACAGAAAGAAGCAGCCGTATGGATATTGTTTCAGTCTCCAAATTGTTGTATTAAGTTCTGTCATTTGGGGAGACATTCTTTTAAAGAATTTATGTTGTTTATGTGTGTTTTGAAACTGTTTATGTGAGTGTGTGTACCATGGAGCACATTTGACAGAGGACAAGTTGTGGAAGTTAATACTCTCCTTCCATCATGTAGGTCCTGCAGATTGAACTCAGGATTGTCAGACTTGGTAGCAAGTACGTATATCCATTAGTCCATCTCACAGATCCATTTAGGAATGTTATTATCTCAGGCATTAGACATGTTTCATAGCTAAACCTTAGATAATATTTCTTAATATCTTTAAAGTGGGCCCATCTTGTAAATCTGAATTATTTGGGGGGAAGTAATGATGACTGTCTTGATCTTAAATGAATTGGAGATGATTTTTGTGGCAGACTTGAACAGTGTGCAGACATCTTTATGCACATCTACTTGATGTGTTTTCTGGTATGTATGTATGTATATTCTATCTATCCCTGAGACAGGATTTCTTTTTGTAGCCCAGGCCATCCTGGAACTTGCTCTGTAGACTAGGCTAGCCTCGTACATAGAAATCCGCCTGCCTTTGCCTCCTGAGTTCTGTGATTAAAGGCATGTGCTGCTTCTGCCTAGTCCGTTTTCTTATATTTAAAGGTGCTTTTCTTTGTTATATTCTAATAAAAGAAAACCAAGTGAGGAATATAAATATGTGTTTTGGAAACTGAGAAGTATGACTCAGCGCCAGTTTGGTTTCTGTTAATAGTTAAAAGTCTGGAGAGCAAAGGGAATGTTAATCCAGATCAAGAAAAGGTCCACCCCGAATTTTTAATTCACTTAGGACCTTCTTGAATAATGGTATCCAAAGGTGATCCTGCCATGTAGCTGGGAGCTTCTCTTAAAGGATAATGCAGAAGAAGGTGTGCCATCTGCTCAGGCAAAATGAACTGTCAGGAACCAGGCAACAAAGCACAGGAAGACCTCAGAGGGACAGACTTCCATCAAAATGAAGCCAACTTCCAGCTGAAGTTAGAAACAAGGCTGGGAGGGGGGGATCTGGGCTCCTGAAGTGAGGTACACTTCTCCTAGTATTCCAGCTTTTTAATCTGATGAGTTACCTAGTTAATAACTCAGATATTACGATGACACAGAAAAAGTTGTGTTGCTCAGATCCCCCTTCAAGAATGTGCTACCTACTACAAGAGTGGCATCAACTGATAGCCTCTGGCTATTAATGCCTTCAGCCTTCTAGCCCTGGTCATACCCTTTTCTCCATGAACCTGGAGCATAGGGTCTCATTTCTAGTTGTTTGGGACTTTGCTCTACAGCTCCCTTTCATCTGGCAGTGGCTCCCCTGCTTATTCTGTTCCCTGGTGCTATCTTCTATCAACCACTTCTGGTAACTCCATTGTAGCATATTTTCCTAAGAACTTGTCTTGCAAAGATTACTATTAATTTGGTACCAAAGACACTGACTGACTTTGGCTTTATTGTGGGTATAGTGGCTCTTGAGTTGTTTGGTTGGCAGCAGCCTATACATGGCATCCTTCATTTTAGTCCAATTCCAGAGTTGCTGGTGCTGGGGATGCTTTCCATTGGCTATGGTTATTTATTTCTGTGGGCTGTTGCTCTCATGTATTGTATTCCACAGCCACTGTGTGGGGGTTATGGGTAGGTGCATTAAAGATGATATTCTTTTGGTAGGACAAAGCTCATGTGGGTTTTAATATCATCAAATTTCATGTTTATACTGACAACTTATCCATACACTAAATGAGTACTAACTAACAAGCATTTACAAGCCACTTTTCTACTCATGATCTCCTTTTGCCAGAGAACTTTTACTCTACCTCAGGTATATAAGTATAAAATAGGTGTTCAAATGAAACATTTATTGATAATAGATAACAAAGAAACCTATTTTAAAATAATTCTTTGGTATACATATAGTTTTACCATTTATTAAAGATGTCAAATCTGCATGCTAATAAGATAGATGTGCTTATTTATTTTTACCTTAAGAATTAAATTTTAGCAGAATATTTGAAGTAAGACATAGAATGTCTTCAGAACTTTTCACAGTTAATCACTATTTTTATTTTCTGACTGTCAACATGAGAATACCACTCTTCATAAATACATAATATAAAGTAGCAGAAATATGTTAAGGCCATTTCAGAAATTGCTAGAAATTCTGTCCTCATCTTGTAACAAAATTCATGTAATGATTTTGAACTCTACAAACCCTTTTAAGACTCAAGCTCACCAATGCAATACAAACCTAAGATATAGTAATTTAATGCTTATGTTCTGAGGAATGTTCGTCAGGAAATAGTGAAAATCTTTGTTGCCCATAATTAAACCATTATGTTTCTATACAAAGGAAAAAACTTTGTGTACTTTGTAAAAACATGTAATAGTCTCAGATGTGAGCTGTTGTGTTTGGGTAGCACTTGCTGGCATTGCATGCAAAGTGCAGAGTGTATGTGTTGTGTGTTTTGAACCAAGTCTGTGGTGAAGTTATTCAGTGCAGTATGGTCAATCATTGCTAGTGATACCTTAGATTCATAACATGTTTGATTTTGAATAATTTTTTTGGTTGTTGCTTGTTCAGAAACCTTCTATTCTTGCCAACTTTTTGTAACTCCCATACTGTTAGGTGATGCTATTTGGCATTGCACCTCACAGTTTAAAATATGGCTTAGTGGTAGAACACTTACTTGCATAGCAACTGTGAGCCTCTCAGTGGTAAGAACTGACTTTTCACATCTTCTGATTCCCTTTTTAAAAGTTTTTACGTATATATTTTAAATTTCTATGTATTTGTGTGTTGAGGAGGAGATGAATAGTATGGGCGTATCACAAAAATGTATTTCATTTATTTTTATTTTTATTTTGTAGAAAATACTGCAGTTTCTACCTGAACGGATTTTCTTTCGATGGCATTACCAGAGTATAGGTAAGATAAAAGCAAACAATATATTAGTGATATGGATTTCTACCAGTTGAGGTATCAGTAATGCTTTATGTAGCTAATGCCATCAAGGTAGCTTATAGAAAGAATTAAAGGCATGCTAATTAAAATAAAGTACAGGTTGAACTTTGTAGGAAAACCACTCTCTCACCACCACTGTCCAGTGCAGAGAATAATTGACTGTGGAGTGCTCAGCCCTAAATGCATCATCTATATCATATCTCTTCTACCAAAGGATCAGGAACTAGCTTAGAAGAAGGGGTAGAGAGATTTTAAGAGTCAGAAGTTGGCCAGGGTTATGGTACTCATGAATTCATAGTGGCTGCAATTGAACCAAGTCAAAGAACCTGAAAAGAAGATACCATCATGTAAGCTATTTTGAAATCCAGAGTTCCAATTTTAATTTAGGATTGTTTCTATGAAAACAGGTAATAAACTCTTACAGGATCTGAATTCAATTTTTATGTTACAAATTTAAATTTAAAGAAAGTAAAGCATGTATACTATATATACCCATGGGACTCAGTGACTGAATCTCTATTCTGAGAGAGCTCCTTGATCTTTAAGTCTTTCAAATAAGCAAAGATTTCCCCCTAAATTTGAGGAAGTTTGCTCTAGCATTTCTTAAAGCTTTTGATTATATATTTAGAATGAGGTTAAAATTTTAAAATGCAAAGTATCCTAAAGAGGTACCCTGGGGTGAGAATGAGAAGTAACTGTGTGCAGCATTCTTGGTTATTCAGCATGCCCATTTGTCTTAAGTTCAGTGGGGAACAGAAGAACTCATGCTCCTGTGATGATGGAGCCAGTTGTCTTGGTTATGCAACAGCCCCACACTTGGCCTTTCTTTTACCTCCTTGATCATCTGAAACCTTGCTTTTCTTGGAGACTCCTCTGTCTTCCTCAGGATCATGGAGATGAGGTCATGGACTTTCTTTACGTAGTGCTAATTCCAGAAATGGTTGAGCTCTCCTTGGACTTGGCCAGCTTGGTGCCATATTTTCTCATCTCCTTTTTTTCATGGTCTGATTCTCTCCTATTCCTTCTCCTCATTATCCATAAGCTCATTGTCCGTCTCTTCATCCTCAAGTGGCTTCTTGCCCTTTGTTATCATATGGTTATCAGTCTGATCACAAACCTCCATCCCCCTAGTATCTTACCTAGTCACCTTTAGGACACCTGTTCTATTTATTATTATTATTATTATTATTATTATTATTATTATTTATTATTATTATTATTATTATTTTATAAAATAGCTTCATTGGGGTGGAATAAACAGAATAAATAAAAAATATCATGAATATAACAGCAGTCCCAAATTTCCTCAACTTCCTTAGTAATCCATCTGTTCCCTTCATCCCTACCTCAGTCACAACCACAAGTACTTTTTCACAAGATTTCCTAGATATGACACTGAAAGTAAAACCCATAAAAGAAATAAAATGGATATATTGGGTTTCTTCAAATCTACCACTAGTCTACCTTTGCATTTTCTAGAGTTTTGTTTAGATATCACTTTTTTTGGGGGGGGGGAGTGATAAAACACCATGACCAACTTAGAAAGGGAAGGATTTCTTTGGCTTACCTTGAATCACTGAGGAAAGCCCAGGTAGGAACTCAAGCTCAGCAGGAACTTGGAGGATGGAGCTGATGCTCACTGGCTTGGACCTCATAGCTTGCTCAATCTTCTTTCCTATAGAACCCAGAACCCACCAGCCTAGGGTAAGATCTGCAGTGGGCTGACCCCTTCCACATCAATCACCAATTAGGAAAATCCTCTACAAGCTTGCCTACAGCCTGAGTTTCGGTAGGCATTTTCTTAATTGAGGTTCCCTTCTCTCAGATGACAATAGCTTGTATCAAGTTGACATAAAAGTATTTAGCACAGCATCTTTTATGTTCTCCTTATTTTGAGATTCATCTGTATGCTATATACTAATAGTTAATTCCTTTTTATTTCTGAGTAGAACAGTATTCCATTGTATGGCTTTGATATTATCTCTTGATCCATTCTCTTGCTGATATAGTGTTCAGTACTGCTTGCTGTCTTTAAAGTTATCTCTTCTGTGTGGTTGTTTGTCTTTGAGGGTCAGCATTATATTTTTTAAAAGGCATGCACTCTTTTTTCCTTTCTAAAGTTGATCTTTAAACAGATATTTGAGGACTGTTGCATTTAAAACACTTGCTGCTCTTGCAGAAGACATGGATTTGGTTCCAAGTACCCACACATTATGGCTTACCACTGGCTGTAACTCTAGTTCCAGGGGATCCAGTGCCCTCTTCTGGATCTGAGGTCAACTACACTAGTAGTGCACACACATACATCATATCCATACACATAAATAAAAATAGAATAAAATATAGATATTAAGTTTTCCCTCATATACCTTAAACATTTATTTGTATACTCTATTTCTAATCAGTTATTTTAAACTTCCAGGTTCAACTTTAAAGAAGCTTCTACACACTGGAAATTCTATTAAGGTAATTATTTTTGATGAAAGTATAATGGACTATTTCTTTACATTTTTAAAGATTTATTTATTTTATTGTATGTTTGAGTGCTTTTCCTGTTTGTATGTATATGCACCAAATGTGTTCTTGGTACCAGCAGAGGTCAGAAGAGGGTATTGGAGCCTCTGTAACTTGAGTTGTAGATCGTTGAGATTAAAGGCTGTGGGAACTCCTCTAGCATGTTTAACACATTTTTTCATTCTCATTTACTTATATATTTTCTTTTGTTGACATCTTTTTAATGATTTAGGAATACAGAACAGGAGGAATATGTGTTTTTAATTCAGGAAGAGGGTTGAGATGGAAGTGAGTGTAGGGTGAAAAGGGGACATGTTGGTTCGTTTTCTGTTGGATACCGCTTACCATTCAGATCACGGTGAAGGGCAGGGAGGGAGCTGAGGACAGACATGAGGCAGGCATGATGGAAAGCATACCCATGTCACTCGGCCAGATCTTCAGGGTCCCAAATGCACCAAAGATCATTGTGTAACATGACTGAAATTCTGCTCTGTTCTCCCATAGTGTAAATGTGGAAGGAGGGTATCTCTTCCTTGTTCCCACAGACAATTGAGCATTGATGATGGGGATACTGTTGCCTTACAGAATGAAATACTATTAATAGTTCAGTGAGATCCAGACACTGCTTTATGTGCCTCATGCATGGTAACTCACTCTATCCTCCCATTTCACAGATGGGGCAGCTAAGACTTAGGAAAGTCAAGTAATTCTCCAAGTATCACAGCTAGACAGTAGCAAAGGGTGAATTTGAACCCAGGCTCCCTAGCTCTAGTGCCCAAACTCTTAGCCTTTGTACTGTATTGAGTCCTTGCTTGTTACTGAGGGAAGAGCTTGTGTACTTTAATGATGTCTTTATCCCCTCTCCTTCATTCACTTCCTTCCCTTTCTCTTTTTTGGGGTGGGCAGGATCTTGCTTTGAAGCTCAGGCTGACCTGAAACTAAGGTTTTCCTGTCTCAGACTCCCAAGTGCTGGGATTATAGATGTTATACCACCATACCCTACCCAACTCTTTTTCTGTCTTTCTTTCCTTAAGACTGATGCTCTATTGCAAAGCATTTCTATAAATGTGTTAAATGTTTGATTAGTTTTGCTTTTAATTTTGTTTTTAGATAAGATGTGAAGGAATCAGACTGTTTCTTTTGTGGCTTCAAGCACTTCAGACAAACTGTGCAGAAGAGCAGGTGCTGATTTTCGCTTGCCTGGTGCCTGGTTTCCCTGCGGTCCTATCTTCCAGGGGACCCTGTACCCTGGAGACACTCATCAACCCTAGCCCTAGTATAGCTGATGGTAAGCAGCATTAGCAGGGTTGACATGCTGAAATGCCTCTTTTAATTTTTATTTTTAGAGATATGTATATGTGTGCATGTGTGTCTGTAAGTGTATTCCTCTTGGGTCTGGGCACCCAAGGAAGCCAGAAGAGGACATCAGATTCCCTAGGAGCTAGAGTTACAAGTGATTGTGAGCCATCCGACATGGGTGCTGGGAGCCAAACTCGGATCCTTTGGAAGAGCAGCAAGCCAAGTGTCTCTTAACTTCTGAGCCATCTCTCAAGCCCCTGAAATTACTCTTGAGCTTACCTTGAGGGTTTCCTTGGTGCTGATGGTCTTGAATAGAAATTCTCATGAAGCCCGAAGAGGAGTTATTCCTTGTGATTGACAGAGGATTCCTAAAGACATTATAATCAAGGCTATAGGTTCAACTCACAGTCTCACTAAACAAACAAACAAAAAGAATAAAATGCTTAGGGCGCAGGAAGTGTGGCTGCCTAAACCTTGATCCCAGCATCCGGAGGTGGAGGTGGGTGCAGGGCAGTCAGGGTTTTTGGTCAGTCTTAATTACCTAGTAAGTTTGAGGCCAGCCTGGACTATGTGAGAGTCTCTGTCTTATAAAACAAAACAAACAAACCAGAACAAAACCTGGAGCCCATTTTCTATCAAACTATAATGAGAAAATTTCTGAAGTGACACAAACAGGAATAGAAGGCGGGACAGGTGTTGGCTACCGTGTAAAGTAACAAGTGTGTTATGTCAGCTAATGAAATGTAAAACTACCTTCTCTAGCCACTCACTGTTGTTCTTACCACTGTTGTTTGTTTAAGAGGCCATTTATCTTACTTTGCCAGTTGTGTTTTTCAGTGTAGCATTTATAGAAGGACAGTAGTGGCCTCATTGGACTATCTGTGTCCTACAAGTGTGAACTTAATGTGTAACACTTCATTGCATTGTATTTCAGGCTGACCAAGACAGAATATGAATGAGAAAGAATCTCCAAGGAAGAAAAGGCTCTGTGGACCTCTATACTGGGCCCTAAGCCCTTGTTCATACTGATTGGGGTTTAGTCTGAGCAGTTCCAGTGGCTGAATAGATGTGTTGTAATAGAGACCATTTTAAACCCTTATTTAAAATTTAACTTTGATGAATAAGCTCTCATTAATTTTTACCTTTTAGCAAAAATATATCCAGAGGAAATCACCCCACTTCTGCCAGCCATATCAGGGGAGAAGATTGCCGAGGACCAGACCTGCTTTTTTCTTCAAATACTGTTGAAATATATGGTTATCCAGGTCAGAGAAAAACCTGCATTTTTTTTTTTCTTCAAATACTGTTGAAATATATGGTTATCCAGGTCAGAGAAGAACCAGGCCGTCTGACTGATGGGCTTATATTTGTAGGAAGGAGAGTTACTGCCTCTTTTTTTTTTTTTTCTGGGTGTCTGTATTACTCTCCCTGAGGTGATTTTATGTGGTGCTTCATTAAACACAGGGTATGCATCATTGCTAGGCCACTTCAGCAAGACTTGATGTGAACTCTTTTTGTGTGTGTGAATTATTAAAGGTATTTTTACTTAAAAAAAAAAAAGTATGTGATTTCATACATAAATTTAGGTCATCTTCATGCCTCTTTCTGCTGCCTTCTCCTGCCTCCCCTTCCTTTCCTCTTATCATCCTTCCAACTTCATAACTCCTCATCTTCTTCCTTTTTTTTTTTTTTTTTTTTTGAGTCAGAGTCTCACTATGTAGCTCTGGCTGGCCTAGAACTTGCTGTGTAGACTAGGTTGGCCTCAAACTCCACCTGTCTCTGCCTCCTGAGTGTGCCACCTAACCCAGCACCTCCTTTTAAAAATGACCCATTGAGTACAATTAGAGCTGCCCAGATGTGCATAGATGTAGGGCCATCTATTGGATCATGGGAAGCCTATCATGGACCACATTACTGAATAAAACTGACTCTTTACCCAGAAGCTATCACCTGCCAAAAGCTCCCAATCTGTCCATTTTATAATGTTGACTGCCTTGACTTTGTGCAGGCAACCAAAGGTGCTGTGACATACCCTGCCACGTCTGGGAGGCAGCTAATTCGCCTTAGTCCTTCCTGACCTTTGACATTTAGAATTTTGTACTCCTTTTTCCAAGATGTTCTGTGAGCTGTGGGGAAAGGTGATGTATACAGTTTTCTGTTTGGGGCTGAGAAATTCACAGTCACTTATCCTTTGTGTTCTGAACAGTTGTGAATCTCTGCTAACTACCATCCACCACAGGAAGAAGCTTTTCTGATGAGGGCTGTGAGGTGTGCTAACTATGGGAATAAATGAGTATTGAAGGCAGTTTGATAGTGTGTCCCTTTAGCAAAATAAATTGGATCTGTTACACTCAGTCATGGGTTCGTGGGTATCCTTTGAGCTTTGTTGAGATACGATTTCATTATATTATTACCAAATATTATCATTTAAACATTTATAGTAGGAATTTTAATCTAACATCATCCATGTTTGTATATGTTAACATAAACTGTAAGTATACAAATGTTTTTTCCCATGTATCATCCTAAGGCTGCAAGCTTGGAGTGGAAGAATAAGGAGAATCAAGATACTGGTTTTAAATTTCTTTTTACATTGTTTCGAAAGTATTATCTTCCTCATTTGTTTCCATCATTTACTAAGTTAACCAACATCTACAAACCTGTACTTGGTAAGTATTCTTTGATTCCTGTGTGGATGTCATCCACAGGGAAACTACAGTAGATTTCATAGTAATCCCTGTGGTATTTTAAAGCAAAATAGTCACTTTATGTTCCTATTGGACGGTAATGTTATTATAAGAAGTTAAAGTTACCTAATGAATGATTCAGTTATCTGAACTTACTAAGAGATTTTGCCTCATTGAAATAAAGGGAACCATGGTTTCTATAAAAATAATTTAAACTGTGCCAGGATAGCTTTGTATGTTTGCCCCCTTTTAATGTCGTATTTCATGTTGCTTAGTCTTCTCCTATGGGTGATGCATTATAGTGATGTCAGACCCTGCTCAATGGTTAGATGGTCCAGCCCAGGACACACACCTGCTGAAGGGATGCATTTTATATTGGGGCTCTTGTCTGCCAGCATACAGGCAGGTACTTATAGAGGAAGATGCTTGAAATGATGTGACAGTCTAGGGACAGGAAGCCTCAGAATTCTGAGAAGCAGAAAGGAACATTTAATTTAGCTCCAAAAATTCCTTTTACAAGAAATTAGGATTCACAGGTTGAAATAATCCCTTACAGTGGTGAAAGTGGGAACAAATCTTCTCCCTACAAAAACATGAAATTAGTTAGGTAGATAATCAAGAAAAACTTTGGAGGAGAAAATCTTTGGAGAAGAAAAGGTCACAAGGGACTGTACTCTATCTGTAAAATATGCCCAACCAATTCTACTGTCTTCGCACACACACACACACACACACACACACACACACACACACACAGAGTGAGGACTCACGGACACAGACACATGAGAAGGGAGAATAGCTGAAGTCTGGAAAATTTAAAAATTTCTAGAATAACTGACTTATAAGGGTACCGGATCCTGTGTTTTGTGTTATATATTTATTTTTTCCAAAATTTGTTTCTGACTTTATGTGTTGTCTGTATTCATTGAAAAAACACTATTACATTGTTGGTGTTACTAGGTTGAAGGTTATGTATTGAAACTAGTCATGGTGGCCCATAACTGCATTCTCAGCCTTGAAACTTGAGGCAGAAGAATTGTGAGTTAGAAGCCAATTTTGGTTACATGTACAGATTCTGAATTGAAAAAGAAATGATGAGCTGGGGAGATGGGAGGGTGTGAGGGAGAGGGAAATGGGATTGGTATGTAAAATAAGGTTGTTTCTAATTTAGATTAAAAAAAATTACTTCAAAAAATCCATAGAAAGAAAAAGAAATAACAAAAAAAGTTATTTATTGTCAATGTTTTATCCTCACTAAAGTACTCCAGGAACATAGGAAATAGTTAAGATACAGGGTAGGACTTATGGCAAGTTCCTATCTCAAAATCACCTGTATAATATTCATAGTTGATGAAACTTAATGAAGACTGAATTTCTGAGTTTATTTAGATGAAAAATCTTGACTTCCTGAGTGTGGGGATTATAGACTTGCACCTCCATATCTAGCTTTAGATATTTTTTTGGGGGGGGGTTAAAGTTCATGTTTGCTTATAACATTAAATTAGCTATACCAGAAATGAAGATATATTCACTATTGTAGTCTCAAATTATCCTCGAAATTTTTAATGAGAGCAATTAGCATGGCGGTATACTATTGTAGTATGTAGGCAATAACAGCCACCTTTTTTTATTTATATTGCAAGGCAAAATCAGAATCAAGCCTTCTAGAAGATGCTATTTTAAAACATTTATAGGTGGTCAATTTTAGTTGGTATTCAAACAAACAAATACGTATCTGTTAATTGGAACCAATCATAGTGATTATTTAATAATAAGATTCACTAACTTAATTATTATGTTTTCTTTTCTTTCTATCAGAAATCCCCCATTTGAGACCAAAGCCAGTATATGTTACTGTAACTCGAGATAATGAAACAATTTACAGTACAAAAATTCCATATATGGCAGCTCGTGTTGTTTTCATTAAATGGATTTTAACTTTCTTTTTGGAAAAAAAATATCTGACTGCAACACAAAACACTAAAAATGGAGTTGATGTATTGCCTAAAATCATCCAGGTATGCCAGCCATTGTTTTAAAATCTCTTTTACTTACATAATAAACACACTCACACATTAGCAAAGAAACTGTTCTGTAGGTTTTGATTTACAGGCTCACTTGTCTGCAGGGCTGGGTTTCAGAGGGAGCTTTGGTCTGAAGCACTTGCCATGCAGTACTGGAATTGGCTACAAGAAGGCAGTTTCAGGGACAAGGAGAATTCTGAGAAGATAGCTCTCGTGGGTACTCTCCTGTCTCCCTTCTTTCTCGTTTGTTTAGTGTTGTCTCTCGTAAGCACAGGCATAGGGTCCTGTCTTTTCAGTCACCAGTAGCTGGAAGGGCCTCGGGTTATGTAGATGTGGCCTATTGAGAGGGCTCATGCTCTTCTCTGTCTTCTCAGGAGAGGACTTGGACTAGCAGCTCAGGGTCCTTGAGTAGCTGTTGCCTTATGATGTTGTTTCTAGAAAGACTTCTGGCCTTTGTCTGAGGCCTTCAGAACAGACTTCTTAGGTAGGAGGGTCTTCAGTATGTGTGCTTGGTGGAGCACTACTGTTTTTAGAGCTTAGAGAACAGTTTCATTACTGAAGGGTCATGGCTTTGTGTGAGTTGATTATTAATGTTTCTTGTCCTCAAGAATAGGGCTGGCAAGTAAGTATAGTGCACTTATTGAAAATTTGCTGATGTCAAGGAGGGTCCAGAAATAGGACATTGATCCAAGTTGGGGAAACATAAGATGGAGGAAGAAATCAGTACATGGTGTATCTCAAGGTCATTAGTGCCTTGGTTGAAGGAGGAATACCAAGCAATCTGGAGCCTGTCAGAGGACCCAGAGGGCAAGCTTGTTTTCAAGAAAGAATTACAATAAGAATGATGGAGGGCTTGCTGAAAGATAGTTCGGAACAAAATAAAACAAAATACCTTAAATTTATACTTGCGAAGTTAGAAGATGGTGATGATTATATTTCTTTCTTTAACAATTTTATTTCCAATTTAAAACATGATATTCTTTCATAGATCTAAAGTGAGTGAGGTAAGTATGGTGTTACACACTTAATCCTACTGCTCCAGAGTCAGAGGCAGGAGGATCTCTGTGAGGTCCAGGCGAGCCTGTTGTACAGAGTGAGTTCCAGGACAAGCTGGGGTGTTACACAAAGAAGCCCTGTCTCAAAAACACAAAACAAATATGGAAGCAATCACTAAACAAAACAACAAAGCAATTGCTGTCCTTGTCAAGGTACTTGATGCTACATAATTCTTCATGCTGTTTTAGTTATTTCATTGTTGTAATATAAACCACCTCAAAAGTTAGTTTCTGAAAGCAGAAGTCTTTCAACTTTTTTTTTTTTTTTTTTTTTTTTTTTTTTTGCTTTGTGGGACAGGATCTGGCTTAGTACATCTTGTGTATTTCATGGGCTTTAGCTGGTGAATGGTTGGTCTGGAGGATCTAAGATGACTTCATTCACATGCTAGTTGGAGAGAAGGCTGGGTCATCTGGAACTGGACTATACTGGTTCACTAGCAAGGTCACTGGATTTCTTATATGGCCACTGGGGGCTCCAAGAACAAAATGTTTTAAGACATGAAAATGTTAACTGTTCTCCTTTTGGGCTCAGGCCTGCTGATTCTCCATGCTTGTGTTATAAGCAGTCTTCCAAGTTTAGACACCTCTGTGATAGCAGAGTGAGTAAGTATAGAGCTCTGATGTGATGATGGCACACATTGCATTTACACATTAACTTATTTTGTAGTTTCACAAATGCAGATTAAACTTTTTAGCTGACGAAATTTCACAGCCCTCTTCCTTAAAATAACAGTAGTTTTCCTGTTAAAGAAGTCACTGAGTTGAGAAAGGATTATTTGGTTAATTAGAAAATTGATAAGTAGAAGTTCAAGAGTCATGCTACAGGCACCTAGCTATAGCCTGTGCAAGTTGATGGTAATCAGAGTACTTGGAAACAAGACCTGAGTCTGGGGGTGTGGATCCTTGGCAAAGCACATGCTCACATATATGAGATTGTGGGTTCCTTCTCTGGTACTGCAACGCACACAAAACCCAAAAGGCAATGAGCAAGACAATACTCAATTTTGCTAGGTGCTGGTGATTGAGGCTGTGGATTGCTATGACCTGTAATGATATTTTTCAGACTGTTGGAGGCGGTGCAGCACAGGAAAAGGTGGCGGAGCTGGATGGTGAAGGGTCCACAGAGCAGGACAAAAGCCATTCTAACAGTAGCACCCTGTCTGACCGAAGACTCAGCAGCTCCAGTCTCTGTAGCATTGACGAAGAGCATCGGACAGTGTATGAAATGGTGCAGCAAATCCTCCTGTCAACGAGGGGTTATGTGAATTTTGTGAATGAAGTATTTCGACAGGTCAGTGCATGTTATACATTCATGAAGTTGAAGTCATCTTTGTTGTTGAGCTGGTCAGTTTCCAAACACATGCCTTACTGGCCTCAGCTTAAATACAGGAGGTGTATTTTATCTCAGTTTCAGAGGTCTCAGTTCAGGATCACTTGGTTTTGTTGCTTTGGGCCTATGGCAGGGTGGTATATTAAGGTAGGGACAGGAAGCAGGTAAGGCCCATTTACTTTACAGATGGGTGTGTGAAAAAAATAGCAAGAGACTAGAGTTCTACAGTCTTCTTTGAGGGCACACTCTGCCATGACCTATAATACCCCACAAAGCCATACCTCTTAAAGTTTATGCCAATTCTCAATACTGACCAGTCAGAGCCAAATTACCCATGGGCCCAGAGGAGGATGGGGGCACCCAACTGTAGCATTATTGTTTTATTTATGACATGGTAAGCAATAGTGATTATTTGGCCTAAATTATAAAACTAAGTAAAGTCCCGACCTACTTTTAGTTTGTCACAAGTTTTAATGACCCACCCAAAAAAAAAAAAAAAAAAAAAAAAAAAAAAAGGTTTTTATCACTATACAATGTAGGAAACTTCACCAATTAATACTTTCATGCTTCCATAGCAAATTCAGTTCAGAACTGGGTGGATAGGAAGCTATTCTTAATACTTAACACCAAGTGAACCTAGTGTTCCAGAGCTTCAGAGCTCACACACCCAGAGGCTCTTTCAGAAAGTTCTACTTTTCCTGAAACAATGTGTGACATGAGTATGAGGTAGAAATATTTGTGACATGGGAGAAAAGAGAAGGATGAGAAATAAAGTCAAGGAGAGAAAGGCTTTTTGTCCAGGACACTGGAATATCATACCTCAGATAGGAAAGGTACTGGGAAGAGCTGAAGCAGGAAGCAGGAAAGAAAAGGAAGGGATCAGAAGCCGAACTGCAATTGATGCCCAAGATTTGCAGCAGGGTTGGTGCTCCTGAGTGGGGCGCAGCAACATCTGGGATCAATTTTGACTGGCATATTGTGGCTAGCCAATTTTTATTACATTATAAATTTATCTTTTAAAGAATAAAGGTACCCCTAAACTACGATTAAAAGCCTATAATCTCAGTATTTGGGAGATAGAGGCAGGAGGATCAGGAGTTTAAAGCTACATAGCTAGCTTGAGATTACCCTGGGCTACATGAGATCTTCCTTGTCTCAGAAAACAAACAAACTGACTGAGTAAATAAATATATCATTATCAGAAACTGATTAGGAATCATAGTATGTAGGGTTGTTTAATCTTAGTTTTGTGTTTAGCAAATCATTCATCTTGGTTCCATAGACTTAGAATACTTGCTTTGTTGGATATTGTGTCTGTTTTTTGTTTGTTTGCTTGCTGCTTGCTTGCTTTTGTTTTTGTTTTTTGGCATTGAGTGGTTTCAAGAAGGTATTCCAAAATTTACTTTCTTTGGTCTTTTGAAAATAGTGAATATATGTTTTTATTTTTGTTTGTTTTGTTTTGTTTGTTTGTTTGTTTGTTTTGCTTGTAAATGTGGCCAGAAGCTGAATTGGGTGTAATAATCTTGGGTCACTCTTGCACTTAGGAATTTGTAGCCAGACAGTCTTTCGACATGTAAATTAGAGCCAGGAAGACTCCAGTATCTTAGTTGAAATTTGGGGATGAGTACATTTAACATTTTGAAAAAGATAAACTTGAATATGTTTGAAGTAAGCAAGAAACTATAACACCTGACAAATAGAAAAGTAGAAAAGGAGAAAACAGAATTTGAAATGGATAATAGTAACAATTGGGATGTTTATTAAAACAGAAGAAGACCTCATTGCATAGTCTTAAAGCAGAAGGTAGATTAAATTGGGTAAAGAAATGATCCTGTACCTACCTCAGAGAGACAGAGGTAAAAGCTGGGACAGGTTGAAGGAAGAAGTTCTAATGAGCAGACCTGATACCTTGTTTCTTTCCTAGCTCTATTCTGGTTTTGTTTGCAATGAGACTATCCTCCTATAGCTATAGATATTCCTCTTTATGTGATTATTTTTAGTGTTTTTGCATAAGCATCAGTTGCAGCATAGTTGTGTGTGCTGACTAGTTTTATGTCAACTTGACACGAACTAGAGGAGGGAACTTCATTTGAGGAAATGCTTTAAGATTGGGCTGCAGGTAAGCCTGTAGAGCATTTTCTTACTTAGTGATGGGGGACAGCCCAGTCCATTGTGGGTAGTACCACCTCTGGGATGGTGGTCCTGGGTTCTATAAGAAAGCAGGCAGATAACAGACTTTGATGATCCCCCACGGAAGGCCCTGGGGAGCAGAAAGGGGATGGGATGGGGGGGTGGAGGGCATGGGAGGATGGGAGGGAGAGGGAGGGAACTGGTATTAATATATAAAACAAAATTGTTTCTAATTTAAATTTAAAAAGAGTGGAAGAGAAAAGAAAGGAAGGAAGGGAGGGAGGAAGAAAGAAAGGAAGAAAGAAAGAAAGAAAGAAAGAAAGAAAGAAAGAAAGAAAGAAAGAAAGAAAGCAGGCAGACAGGCAGGCAGGCAGAGCAAGACAGTAAGCAGCATCCTACTTGGCCTCTGCATTAGCTCCTGCCTCCAGGTTCCTGCCCTATTTGAGTTCCTGTTCTGACTTCTTCAGTGATGAATGGTGATGGTGATACATGAGCCAATTAAACCTTTTCTTCCTCAACTTACCTTTGTTCATGGTGTTTATTGTGGCAATAGAAACCCTGACTAAGACACTGCAGAATTAAGTTTTATTGCTACCTGGTGAAACCAAACATTTGAGAAAGAGGAGGTGATGGGGAAAAGAAGAGCTTTATTGGCAATAAGCTGGAAAGTTGGGTATCTTAAAAAAAAAAAAAGACACCATCTTGTGAGGGGTTGCAGGTACAAGGCTTTATAAAGATTTGTGGGTAGGTCTTTGAAATTTGCAGAAACAGCAGTAATTCTGAATTTTGGGTAGTTTGCTTTTCTGAAGCACAGACTGTAGGTTTTCATAAGTCACCAGAAGTTCTAGGTTTGTTCTGTAAATCTAAAGAAAAGTTGCTAATGAAATAGCTTTATGTCCCATGCCATTGTAAGTCCTTTCCCTAGGAATAGCTGATGCTGCAGTTAGGAAAGTGTGTAGGAAAGTGTGGCATCTTTCATCACAGGACAGCCAACTGTCTCTGGAGAACAGGGGTGGATACCCTGAGTAAGATAGTGAAATGAAGCTTTTCACAAAAGAACGAATTTAACCCACTAGGTCACTTCAGCAAGAGGTGTCCTTTGTAGCAAAGCTGATGGCAGACCTGCAGTAGAATCCCCAGTCATGTGGCCACCAAACTCAGGGATTTTTAAAGATGGACTAAAAGGCATGAAGTTAGACTATTAAGTTAGAGTTTCCCCTTTGTAGCATCACTATACATTTAGTTACATGCATTCCTGTGGTTTGAATAGTTTATCATTAAGAAGCTTCCAGTTTTTTTTAATTTATTTTTTTAAGTTAAAATGTAATTACAGCATTTCCTCATTTCCCTTTTTTTCCTTCAACCCATCCCATATTCTCTTTCCAATCCCCCATGTCCCTCCTCCCTCCCCCATCTCCTTTTCAAATTGAGTCCTTTTTCTTTGCTCATTATTGTTTTTCTCTCTCTCTCTCTCTTTCTCTCTCTCTCTCTCACACACACAAAAACCAAAACAAAACACACACATACACACTTGTGTGCATGTCCATACAAGTATTTAAATAACAATCCCTTGAGTCTGCTTTGTTGTTTGTGTGTATGTGATTTCAGGACTGGCCACTTTGTATTATATAACTGGTTAGGTGGGGCTCATTCCTTTGGGAGGGTAATTCTTCCTCTCAGCAGCCATTGCTTACTTGTAGTTCTTTATCTTTATCTAGGTGCAGGTCTACTTGAGATTTCCTCCTTTCCAAGTTAACATGTCTGTTGATGTTCCTGTTGATATTGTCATTGCTCAGGTATTGTTCAGCCTGCCATTTCTAGAAAATACAACCTCAAAGCAGGCTTCCTGGCCCTCTGGCTCTCATAATCTTTCCACCATCTCTTCCATGGTGTTCCCCGAGCTTTAGGTATAGGAATTGTGCTAAAGACATCTGCTGGGGCTTGGTTCTCCACAGTCCATTGATCCAGTGATATCTACTTGTGGCTTTCTGTGATGGTGTCCACCTGATGTAACGTTTTAGAAGTATAATGTTTTTCAGAGTTTGTCTTGTGCAGTCTTATATTGCTCTACTTATCTTCTGGTTAGTGTTTATATGCTCCATGTTTTTCTAACTTTGTTGTCTACTTCTGTGGACATATGCTTTGGGTTTCCCCTTACAAATTGCAGGTTGTTTTTTTGTTTGTTTGTTTGTTTGTTTGTTTTAGTTTTTTAATCCTTCTCTTAAATACAGTGTTATAACCTCTGCCATGTAACATAGTCACTGCTTTTCTTGGGTGTAAATCAGCAGTCTTACTTTTACTTTCTAATAGTAACAATGGTTTTGTTTGTTTGTTTGCTTGTTTTGTTTTTTTGACTGGTTGGCCTTTTTTTCTCTGGTACTTAGGTGCGTGGTAGGTATTACACTCACCTGCAATTGTTTAATGGCCAGCATCCTGCATCTCTAAATTAAAATCTATTCTCATTTTCAACATAAGTTCAAATTTACCTCATTTATTCCTTCTCAACTTATAGGACTTTATAATATATTTGAATTCCACATTATAAAAAGAATGTACATATGCCTGACCCAGTCTTCACCACCCAAGCAAGAGTGAGCATCCTCCTCCCTCCTTCCTTTTAAGAGGTCATGTAGTCAGACAAGAAGCACCACCTCTATTGGGTCAGATAGCCCAAGGTCATAGGCAGAGTGAACAAATACCCACTATACTTCCCCTTTTTGTCTAAATAAGAAGGTTCTGCACCTAATACAAAACTATATACAATAAGAACTATTAGTAAGTATTGTCTAGGAGAAAGAAAGGGTAATAACATAAACAAAAATGGAGCTACAACCAAGAAGAACAACATTAAGTAAGAAATGCATACTAAACGTCCAGATAATAGGTAAATGACAAATTACAGCGATTACTCAAAAGCTGTCCTATCCTGAAGAATCTGAATCTAGTACTTGATATGCTCTTAGTTAAGGTACGAAAGGATTGTAACTATGACTATTTAGTCTTCAACCCCATCAACGATCTTAGAAGGAAAATAATATTACCTGAGTAAAGGTAGTGCAAGTAAGCAAATTCTGAAAAATGGTAGGAATGACAGAAACAGCTGGCTGCCTGGAAATTCACCCAATGTTTCTCTGTAACATTGGGACATTCACTTTTGGCTACAGGCCTAGAATATCTGACAGAGCATTTTCAGAAGCAGGAAATTTTAAAAGATTGTCCTACCCTCTCTTGGCAGTCCCTTTTCCATGTGTCCTGTTTGTTCAAGTTGAACAGTGTGCTTACTGTCAGCAGTTGAGGCAAGGACAGTTCTATGCCTAGCAGGCCATTTTGCTAAGAAGAAGACAATTTCATATGGAAATTTGTTTTTTTGATACCCAGCATCCTCTCAGGAGTAAATTGGTGCTGCCAGGAGCAATCGTGCCTCACGTCAATAGAATTCTAAGTTACTAAAACATTTAAATGCCATATTCTCTTGGTCTGTGAAGTGTTTGGAGATTACCTATCCATCTGACATATACCTCTGTATATTTAGAAAACCTAACTGACATAGCTAAAAGTATGACAAGCATGGATGACTGTTAACCCATTTTTCTTACTGACCTAAATAGCTTAAAGACTAAGGCTTCACATATAAAAATAAGCAATCTGTGAACAGCTGTACAATATAGAACAATGACCTAAAATTTGTGACAATACAAAATATCTTTATCAGAGGTAGAACTGTATAGTGCAATATGATAACAAAATCCTTAATATGTGACAATATGCAAAATATCCTAAACAGAAGTAGAACATACATATAGCATGACAAGTATAATTTACATTTGTATGAGTATATAAAAGTGATTTAAACAGGAATAGGAACATATTGTAATATGACAAATATAGTTTTGAATTTGTTTCAATATACAAATTATCTTAGACAAGAATAGAAAATAATTTTACATTTGTATCAGTATACAAAAATCCATACCAATACAAATTATCTAAAGCTGATAGTTGCTGAATTAGTTTACAAGTAGGTACAATAATTTACTTCATTATCCTGTCCTTATATATTCCCCTGTTTTCTTTCCCAAAATAGATTCCTGAGTCTAAACTTCATTGTTCCACCCCCAACCCTATTACAACTTATAACAAACCCCTAACAGATAACAATTTTCCATGACCCTGAGAAAACAAAATCTGTTGGGAAAGGGGGCATCATTTTCTAGAATTGCTTCCTGCTATCTAGGGGGCCATAGTATCTCTGTGGGATTGTAGACAAAAAAAAAAAAATAAATAAAAAATAAAAAATAAAAAATAAAACAAACAAAAAAATAAAACAATGGTTGAATCTCATTAGAATTAGCTATAACATTTGTAGCCAGTCTCAGAGTAGTGGCCAAAGCTTTTCTGAAGTCTGGGCTAGAGGTATAAGATGGTGGACCATCTCAGCTAGCCACCTTGGAATTATCATGAGCAGTTTATAGTCCAAAGCTGATCTTTGAGTGCTAATCTTTGAGTGGTATATATTGGTTCAATGGTGTCATCATGAACCATGTAGAGTCATTGTTTTGGGGTCCCATCTTCCTTTGGAGACTTCAGAGATCACTGTTAGGAAATTTTATTGTTCACTGTGAAAAACCTTAAACATTATTAATATCAGAATGGAAAGTTTAAATTTTAGGGTAGCACTGCATCTAAAGAAAGCTTCCAAAGAGTCAAGAATAAGTATGTAGAGAAAAAGAATTTTTGACAACAATAGTCCCTATATTTTTGGTTTCCTTCTGTCCTACATCAGGTGACTCTTCTGATATAAGACAGAAACACCTAATATTTCTTTTAACTACATGCTTGGATTTAGAGAAGGAGAGTTATGCTCTGATTCTAAAGTCAGCTTTGATTTACAGCTGAGTCAGGACTACAACTTTTTGACATTTTACCCTGTAGAGAAGAATATCAGTAGCAATAGGTCTGATTTTTCTTTGTCAATTTTTGTCTAGATAGCTTTCCTTTCTTTTTTTGACACCTAGATGTCCCAGGCCTTTTGATTTCTGGATGATGGGTATTTGTGTTTTCCTGTAAGAACAAAAACAGATCCCTGCCCTGGCCCTTGTTTGGTGATTTTCCTTACAACTTGTAGGACTGTCACATTGGTGGATGAGCTATCATTTCTCCTTATTAAGAGGTTTCTCCTGTTCAAATCGAATCTTTATTAATCTTATTAATCTTGATGGTATCTGTAGCTATTTACTCTCTGAGGTGTGTATTTAGGAAATCAACTATGGTCATTTCTCTTTTTTTTTTTTTTTTTTTTTTTTTTTTTTTCTGAGAAAGGGTTTCTCTGTAGCTTTGGAGCTTGCCCTGGAACTCACTCTGTAGAACCAGGTTGTCTTTGAACTCACAGAGATCTGCCTGCCTCTGCCTCCTGAGTGCTGGGATTATTGTCCTGGCTGTTTGTAGAGTTATTTTTATTCATTTTTAAAAATAACTTTATTTTTCCCTATATAAGAACTACTCCTTGCTGTCTGTGAGGAGAGTAGTATGCTAAGTTGGGTTGCTAAGTTGTCTACATTTTGTCAGAACTGGTCCCTGTATTTCCTTCTTTGTAAAGTTTTTCTAAATAATATACAATAAAAAAGTGTCAGGCTTCAATCAGAGACATAGAGGCTAAAATATTTATAGATCAAATATACCAATAAAGGACAAAAGAAATAGAATAGGTTGAAGGAAGGATAGAGGGATGGGTTGACAGATAAATATGTAATGAAGCAAATATAGTTGCTGCTAATTACATCAGGGGAATAGGGCTATGGCTATTCACTATGAAAACATTTAATTTTATTTGTGTCATTTTTTGGAATAAAATTCAGGAAGAAAGTGAAACAACATACACTTTGTCATAGTCTCTTATGTTTATTGAGGCAGAATATTAGTTCATTCTACTTTTGTGATCTTTTGATAGCACAGACTCCTGTGTTCTGGAATTTGATGTGATCTGGTTGACACCTCTGGGAACTTCTGTATCTGTGTACCAGTGCTGAAGTGACATCTGCCTATCATTGCATCTTTTGTTGTGAAACTTAGGGGTGGTATTTAAAAAACATCCAAGAACTACTTGGCTTATTTGTCCTTGTCCTTGTCATTCAAACAGTCATTTGAGTGTGGGGTGCTGGTCCTTTCTGTTTACCTTATATTACAGCAATAGGACCTAAATCTCAGATGCAAAAGGCAAATGCATTTCCTCTTCAAAGTAATTGTTTTCTACTTTCTTTCAGCAAATCACAAATACGTAAGGAGATGCCTTAATAGTAAAAATTTCCTTGACTGAGAGATGGCTTAGTTGGTAAAATGCTCAGATCCCCTGCACCCATGTAATAAAATGTGGTGCCATGTATCTGTAATCCTAGCACTATGAATGCAGACATAGGAAGACCCCTGTGGCTTCTTGGTCACCAGTATAGCCAAATTGCCAAGTTCCAAATTCAGTGAAAGAGCCTGTCTGATAAAATAAGATGGTAAAGCAGTTGATGAAGATGTCAAATGTGGACTTCTGGTCTGTAAGTGCACACACGAAGTATTTAAAGTTCCTACAATTGTGCAAAGTGTTAGAAGTGGCCAGGATGGTTAATATTTGTGTTTGGACTTGGTGTTCTGATGAACGTAGAAACCTGTCTGGGAAGGAGATAGAGGAGAAAGGCAGGAATAAACAGAAATGGGATGAAAAAAAAAAGGCAAGAGAAGGAGAAGAAAATGGCAAAACAAGGTGGAAGAGCCCATATTTGTAGCAGTCTCCAACTTCTGTGGTTTTAACTAACCCTACCATGGCAACTTGAAGCTCCCAGCATGGCTCACCTGAGTGCAGAGCCCAGAGCAGATCAATGCAGCCAGCTCCACGCCTGCGAGTCTATCTCTTGGTTTACAAACCATTTCTGATTTTTTTTTTTTTTTTTGGAAACTTACAAATTTAGTTGTCATTATTTTATTTAGACAATTAAAATACTGTAAATGTATGGTTTAGTTATTTTTATACAAAGAGCTAGCTGGATATAGACAAATCTGTGAACCTTTATTATTTTTCTTTTCTAATTATAAGGATGTCATTTTCCTTTAGATGAGTGGTATGTGGAAAAGTATGTATGTGTGGTCTCTATACAAGTTAGATGTTTTTGAAGTTGGTGCTGGAAATGACTGTAAGGCGGCTTTAGGAGAGTCTGAGATTGTGTAGCATTAAGGAGTTCCTTGTTTTGGTTTTTCTTTTCAGGCATTTTTGTTGCCTTCCTGTGAAATATCTGTAACAAGAAAAGTAGTTCAAGTATACAGGAAATGGATCCTGCAGAACAAACCTGTGTTCATGGAGGAACCAGATAAAAAGGATGTTGCCCAAGAAGATGCTGACAAATTAGGACTTTCAGAGACTGACTCCAAGGAGGTAACATTATTGCTCAATCTGTGAGTAGATCTGCTAAGTCAAGGGTCTTACTGTGCCCAGGAAGACAGGCCAGAGCACGAAAGTCTCAGGCTTTGAACCATCATTCATGCTCCGTCTTTGGTGGGCAGTTGTCTCCTTCACCCTTAGCCTAGGGCCACATGAACATGGCAACTTTTTAAATCACTGTTGCAAGGCATTCATTTTCTTATATTCTGCAGTTTTTTCTGTGAGACTGAAAAGCAGTTATCCTCTCCTTGACTTGTTTAAATAAATAGTCGTTGGAAATGGAATGTTTTTGCCAGACTTGTCTTTTGCAGTTCACTGTCCAGAAGACATCTGTATTAAATACTTGAATAAAGAGCAAGGGCTTATGGTGTATGATCATTGCTGCCTTCCTGCAGGAGGCACTGCCCTGTTCAAAGCTAAGGCTTGAATAAACCTAAAATGACAGCACAGAACACCCCTTAAGCAAAAAAGAAGCAAATTATATTTATGTTCCTGATTAAATTAATTTACAATATTTAAAATCCTTAGTCACAGACTTAAAATTTTTAAATGTCTGACTTGATTCTGTTGTTTTGATGTTTTAGTATTAGAGAAATAATTTTAGTAACTTGTTATGAGGTCAGATCAATAGTAAGCAAGTAGAATTTGTGTGTGTCGGATCCTGATTTCTTTGTCCCAGCATCAGGCAAACACTAAGGTCTGAGACCACCTTGGGTGCTAGAGGTCAAGTGCTAAGCAGAGTGTAAGGAACCAAGTATGTAAACACAGGCTTCTTCCCACTTGGCTAATGGATTGTTATCTTCTGAAGGCCTCGTCTGAAAGTTCTGGTCATAAACGGTCATCGAGCTGGGGACGCACGTATTCCTTCACAAGTGCCATGAGCAGAGGGTGTGTGACAGAGGAGGACAACACAAATGTGAAAGCAGGGGCCCAAGCTACATTGCAGGTATGCTACCATCAGGGCCACAAAGACAATTCTAGTGGAAAAGACATTTTGAACATTTTGTTTAATTAGAATAATGTCACATGAAGTGCACTGTTATTTTGAGCAGTAGGCACTAAAGAACCCTTAAGTTCTAAGTTTTTCCTTCCACCCACAAATGAAAAGTATTATTTTTTTTTTTTTCTCTAGTCAAAAACTATGTGAGAATTGGTTTCAGGTTTTTTTGAGAAGGACTATTTTACAGTGAATGTGAAATATATATGATTTATACCTGAAGTTGTCTTCTAAGCACATCTGAATAGTTACTTAGATTTTAATTTATAACAACTTATTCTGTGTATGCACATAGATACAGACAGACAGACAGACAGACACACACACACACACACACACACACACACTCACAACCACACAGAAAGCAAGAGAAACATAAATAAAAATAAATCTTAAGAAAAGAGTAAAGATGATTTTACTCATGTAGCTGCAGAGAACTCTGCTGTAGCTCATTATTGTAGCCTGTGACCTTGGCATAGACCCTTGGAGGGTTCCTTGCTTTGTCCCTGCAGCTCCCTCCTTCCATGTGGACTACAGTCATCCTGTATCTCTACAGTTTGAAAAAATTCTTAGCTAGGATGTACATTGTTGTTTTTGTTCTTGTATTCAGTAACTTGGCTCATGGGGAAAGGGGCTTGATGGAGGTCTGATGAGAGCATTCTGTTGTTGCTGCTGGGGATGAGCACAGTTTGAACATAATTCTCTGATTGGTTACCTTAACCGGTGCCAATACAGTGACAAGTATTCATGTGTTGGCTTCTTGAAACTATTATTAAAAGTGTAGTATATGAAGACTTTTCATTGGGAATTGGTAGAATTTTCAGATTCAAGAAGGCAGCACATGAAATTAAAAGGCTTTGTTTTATATTATTTGTGACTTAGTCACATAAAAACATTGTCACTAAAACTGCTTTAGTTCGTTAATCAGAAAATTCTGTTTTCTCTTATTCAGAGCCTTATTCAGATTGACTTTGTGAGTTTTCTCTGGTAGTGATTATTAATGATTGTTTTCTCTATAAAAGTGGGCTATGAATGTTTTTTAGTCTTACAAAAGCTAAACCTTAAAAGCTGTCACCAGTTTTTTTTGAGTGTGTTGATTTGAACCTGTCTGGGTAGTCTATGTGTTCTATTTGTGATTCCCTCCACCAAGAAGCCAGAGAAGCTGGATTTGCTCTACTTCCTCCTTGCTCATACTATTTAATCTAAAGGAGACCTACAAAGCAGTATGAATACAGATAGATATAACCCATTCGATCTAGTTTATGTGTACCTTTTACTTAAATGTGTGACCCTGCACCACATGTATGCCTGGTTCTCAAAGGAGGCCAGAAAAGGATGCTGGATTCCTTAGAACTGAAGTTGTAGGTGGTTGTGAGCCACCATGTGGGTGCTGGGAATCAAAGCCAGGTCCTCTGAAAGAGCAGTCAGTGTTCTAAGTCATCTCTCCAGCCTCAGTCCTATCCATTCTTATCACAAAGTTGACAACAATGAACATCTGAAGTTGCTGTGCCACAGAGTCATCTGTATGGGTGCTGACATGTTCTCTCACTGTAATAAGCAGTAACTTTCTGTCTGAGAACCAGAGTCAGCCTGCTGATACAGAACAGAAGGCTTGGATCCCAAAGATCTAGGGCAGAGCTTAGAGTAGTTGGCTGACTCTCTCATTGTTCTTTTGTAACATTCCTTCCTTTTATCTTAAGAATTGGCTGAGACTGTTGTGTTGTGCTGCATAACAGATTTCTCCTATTAAAACAAGCCATGCGACTAGAGAGATGACTCAGCTGGTAAAACATTCACTACACTATGTGAGGACTGAAGTTTCTGGAAGTCAGGTGGGCTTAGCAGCCCACTTATAATCCTAGTGCCAGGGAGGCAGAGACAGGAAATCCCTGGAGCAAGATAGCTAGCCAGAGAAGCAAAACCTGAGCCCTGAGTTTAGGGAGAGATCCTGCTTCAATATAGAAGATGGTATATTCAGTCCCCACTCCCACAGGAACACACACGCACGCACGCACGCACGCACGCACGCACGCACGCACACACACACACACACACACACACACACACACACACACACCACATTAAAAAAATAAGAAGTCCTGATCCTAGAAGATGCAACATTGTCCATGTGATTTGTCTGTTTCCAGGCACCCACTGCTCATTGCTCAGTCCTTATGCCTCTTGGGAACACTTGCAACATTCCATCGGAAGTAGGGGTCATGTACTGTGCTGGGTGCTTCTATCAGTGCCACATGGGTTTACTACACATCGATTCTTATTCCTCCAACTTGATGCCTTAAATTCACTTTGGCAAAACAATTATATCTCTATTGTCTAGCCACGGGCCTTCTCTCTGACCTTCTGTCCATCCCAGACCTTCTGATTCTGACCCTGTGATCCTGTCTTTTTTTTTTTTTTTAATTGTTGCTATTGTTTTGTTGTTAGTGTTGGAAGATAAAACAAGTTCAAATATTTTATGACTCACTCGTGACTAGAGTAACACTATTTATATGGAATAGTAGGGAAAGGCCTTCCAGGTGCCTACCTAGGCAATCCTAAGGGGTGAGCTTCAATACTTGGAGCATGTGTTGGTGCCAGTTGCTGTATCGAAAGAGTCTGTGGAAATAATTCAGAGGGATTCATTGGTCAAAGGGAGGTAATATCTGTATGTGAGATGTGTATGATCAATTGTGTTTTCTAATGTAGAATTGTTGGCTTTAAGGTCTTTCTTACAAATGCTGCGAATGTCTTTTTGCTGGAACCGTGTGCTGAAGTTCCTATGCTCCTGAGAGAACAGGTGGATGCCTGTAAAGCTGTTCTCATTATTTTCCGGCGCATGATAATGGAACTCACAATGAATCAAAAGACATGGTAAGTTTACTTCAGATTAGCATCCCCGAACAGCTGTCTTTTCTGTTCAGTGAAATTAAAGTGCTAAGGTTTCCATTTATCTAATGTTTTTACAAAACTGGCGATAAGGTAAGCAGCAGCCCCTTGGAAGCTTCTGTGAATTGTGGCAAAGGGACCTACCCAGCACTTGGATTATTCATTTATTTTTATTATTGTTTTAAAAAATGCTCTTGAACAGGAGCTAATGTCACACTCATCATTAGTGGGTTTTATCATTTTAAACTGTTATCAGACAGTTTTATGATAAGAGATGTGTGCTTTATAATATGATTCTTCATAATTGAAGTTTGTTTGTTGTCCTATTTAAGTTCCAAATGCCAGATGCTTTCTTCTGATTCCTTCCTTTCCCCACCTCTCTTTTCTTCACTCCTCTTTTCCTCCCTGCCTCTCTGTTTCTTTTCTTTCCATTTAGTAATTAACTCCTGAGCATCTATTATGAACACACAGTGGTGCAATAAATAGCATGTCCCACTGTGACAGGGGTCTGAGTGCCCTGACTGTGAGTCTCAGGGCCACCTCCAGCTCTGTCGTTTCTTTTTCCTCTTCTCTTCAGGACTTGCTGTCCTGTGCTCTGCACATGTGTCTAGATGTAGGTGGTGCATTTGTCTTCCTCCTTCATAAACAAGTAAACAGGTGGAATAGAGTGCTGGGAGAATGGATGTTAATAATAATAAATAGATAAGCCTGGAACTAAAGCCCAATGGAGCCAGATACCAAGAGAGCAAATTCCCAGAGGTCATAATACCACTAGAAAGTTACTGAGATTTTGTGTCATTTGTCTAATGCACAGACACAGGAGAAAAGATACCACAGCCTACAGATCTGTTTGTCTGACCTGGACCAGATTGCTTTGTTGTGGTTTTAGTTTTTTCACTAGAGATTAAGAAGAGCAACAAGAAAGTAGTGCAAGTGAATAAATGGTTAGGACTCAAAACCTTATAGGAACCAGAGCAATTCCCTTAGAGAATGTTTGAACTCCCCCTCTATACGGAAGATAATATGTTCTCCATTCCCACAGAGTTCATGGATATGAGAAACACAACTTGGCTATATAAGAAAGGAAAAATGATCTTCTGATGTTTTAGACATCAGTACTGTGTTGATTCTTTAAGCCTATTATGTAAAGTCCCCTCCTGTGAGTCTGAAAACAGTAGCACATGGTGACTGAGCTATGGTGACTGCAGCCATCCCAGGTGTGCACTGTGGTGTAGGCAGGATCTGCCAGGCACAAATGCACTGCCCATCAGTGCTCAGTCTTGACCCTTCTAAACCCCTCCTGTCTTCTCCAGAAACCACAGCCATGCAGTGTTATTGACTGCCTGTGTCCTCATACTAAAGACCAGAGTCAGTTTTGTTTTCTATCACAAAGGCAGATGGGAGACTTCACAGGTTAAGTAACAAAATGATGGAGAATGTCAGAGTACAGTATACGTTCCTGCTGGCACAGCTATTCCCTTGGTGAGTGCCCCCGTGTGCTGGTCCAACTGGAGAAAACCGTCTTGTTCTCCCTCCTGCAAAGACAAAAGTCAGGCCGGGAAGATGTCTGGAAGATGTCATCCTGCCAGTTGGCATGGATGTGGAAAGCATGTTTGTAGAACTGTGGTAACATAAAGTAGTTTATATGGATGAAATATGTTCTTATTCTCTAACTGGCACCTAGATTTTTAATACTTTCAGATAATATGTGATTATTAGTGTTGCTACTGTGGAGATCTCATACCTATAAAGTGCTTTGGAGATGTGATTATTAATATGAGCTTTTATTTTGGGTGGCCCAGGGAGCAGATGTTGCAAATCCTTCTCAGGATAACAGAAGCTGTCATGCAGAAGCCAAAGGATAAGCATGTAAAGGACTTGTTTGCCCAGAGCTTGGCAGGGCTGCTCTTCAGGGTAAGTCTTCTTTATTAAACAGTGCAAATGCAGAATTGAAGCAGACTTGGCAAATTAGCTTTAATTACTGAGATTTCTACATGTTATATCAAATTAACTTTACATTTTTAGAAATTTCCTTCTTAGCTTTGTTCTAAATGTTGTGGTCTGTCTTTCACAGTCAACATTGGGTCCTTCAGGCTTCCCTCTGCCATCTCCTTCCTCCTGGTTTGCTTGATTGTGGTAGACATTAAGAAGTGATAGGAGTTGAGCATCTTAGTAGGGGAGAAAGCTAGATAGATTTGACAGTTACAGGATAAATAGAAATATGGAAATGGGATGAAAACTTGAGAACATCATTGTGTCAAGCAACTGTATGCAAAGCCTCAGACTGAATGGAGTGACTGTGAGAGAGAACATAGGGAGATGAAGGCATCACCATGGTTGATAAAGAGAGACAGCCAGAAAGGCTGAGAAAGGAGGCCCAGTTTGCTGAGGGGAAAGCTAGAGTAGATTGTTCTAGATGTCAGGTGAAGTGAGGAGGTAACCTTTGGCTCTAGTAAGAGGTGGATGTACATGTTGGTGACATTGGCTATGACAAATTCTCTAAACTGCAAGAAGCCAGCTTCCCCTTTCCTCTCTCCTTCCTCCCTTTCCCCTCTCTTCTCCCTCCCATTCTCCTTCCCTCCTTTCATCCCTCCCACCCCCTCCTCTCATTTGAGATGTCTTGCCCGGCCTAGAACTCACTATGTAGAACAGGCTGGCCTTGAACTTACAAACATCTGCCTTTGTTGAGATTAAAGGAGAGTGTCACCACATCATCCCTTTATTTCGTATACTCAGTAAAGTAATTTCCAGTCTTGACATCTTACTACACCATGACATCCAACTGGTTTTGCTCCTGCTACCAGTACTGCAGCAGAATGGGAGGTGATTCCTACTGACCTCTGCAGTCTCTACCCTCTCCTCTTACTCCACTAAGATTATATCTATTGATCTAATATTGGGTCAGTTTTATTACCACTAATATTTTATTGAGTATTTTTATTAAGGCTAAAATGCCAGTTTCTGTCTATACATTTTAAACTCATGTTTTCAAAAGTTCAAGGCCATTACCAGAAAGCAGTAAATTGATAATTTCATATAGTATAAAATATTGATCTAATAATAAAATTGACCCAATATTAGATCAAAAATTAGCAATAATTGACTTCTCTTCATCATGATGGGCTGCAGGTGCCTTCGGGCTGTTCTCTGTAAAGCAGGTGGATAATCAGGAAGCCAGCAAAGGGATCTGTGCTGGACAGGAAGACAAAAGAAACACAGCAGTAAGAGGGTAATGGAGCCATAGAAGGATAAACCCAGGCAGGAAGTGGAGATCTGTCAAAAGGAAACTCCAGAGTCAATTGGCTGGGAGAGGAGGAAGTAGAAAAATTTGATTTTGATAGAGGTGAGGAAAGGCTGTAACCAGAGGGAAAATCCACTTCAAGGAGAGTGTGTTGATTTGTGTGTGTGTGTGTGTGTGTGTGTGTGTGTGTGTGTATAGCTATGCAGACCAGGCTGGCTTCAAACTCACATAGATCCACCTGCCTCTGCCTCTGCCTCCTGAGTGCTGGGATTAAAGGGTGTGCCTCCACCATCCTATGAGTGTGTTGATTTTTAAGATGAGGAAGAATTATAGCAAACTAAAGATAGTTTGGCTTAATGGAAACACATGGTTTTGAGAAGGAACTTAAAGAGGGAGTAGGAATGCCTCTTGGAAGACAGTGCAGATGGGGTTGGAGCTGGGTAAATGCCAGTGAACGTTTACCCAGGTCTCATGGGCTGAGGCAGAAGGGAGTCTCATCTAATGAGTTGTCTTTGAATTCTGCAACAAGCCCAGCTGCTCAAAGTCATGTAGCACTCAGGTTTAGAAGGTCACACTTAGAGGAAGATGTTTGCCATAGCCTCTCTGGTAATGGTGAAAGAGCCGCCTTCAGAAGCTGCGTAGTCACTGGACAGAGGTTTTATATTCTTTTACCAATATTAGCAACACTAGCCATGCACATTAGAATAGCATTTCCTCAGCTAACTCATCTTACCATAATGAAAGCCTGGTTACAATTGGTCAAAAGTAAGAATAACAATAAAAATAATGTTATTTTGTTGTTAAAAATCATGCATTTGGTTGGTTTCAGACACTTATCGTGGCTTGGATCCGAGCAAACCTCTGTGTGTACATTTCTCGGGAGCTTTGGGATGACTTTCTAGGTGTGCTGTCGTCCCTCACAGAATGGGAGGAACTCATCACTGAGTGGTCCAACATCATGGACTCCTTGACAGCTGTGCTCGCAAGAACTGTATATGGAGTTGAGATGACAAACCTACCTCTAGATAAATTAAGTGAACAAAAGGAGAAGAAGCAACGTGGCAAAGGTAGTTTTGCTCTTCCAGGGCAGCAGCAGTGGTGTGGGGTGAGAAGGGTGTTTCTTTGTACACCTGAGCTGTAAATGCATTGTGTTTCATAATGAGCTAAACCAGTTGCACAGTGTTTTTAAACACTGGCCCTTAGATTGTGTTTCCTATTACTTTGTTCCCTTAATGAAACTGGTGACTATGTCAAGAGAATGTGGAAGAAAAATGAGAGAGAAGTACCATTAACAGGGGTAACAATGACCATGCTTGGCACATGGACTCCATCCTTATCCTAGCTCTTTTACATAGATCTGTGTCACAGACAGAAAACCCAAAATAAGAAGGCTTTATAGTGATTGACATCTAAGCCAGTCAAGTCCAGCCCAAGATGCTACACAGCCCAAGGTGCTGCTGCCTCCCTAGAAATTGTGGAGGAATTCCAAGTGCTTGAGATGGGAGCCATTTGGGCTTTATTGTGCTTCTGGGTAAAGCTGTTTTCAGACCTAAGGAAGTAAAAGTAATGATTTTGAGTTGTAAAACAATGGGAGTTTCTATTGGAGATGACAGTTGGTGTCTCCTTATCTTTAGTACAGTTCATAAGGACTGTGGTACTTGAGTTAACTTGTCTATTCCAGCCATGCTGTAAAGACTTGAGCTGGCTTATTCAAATGTATATGGTACTTATTAAATGGAAAAAGAAATAGGACATAGTGGGAAGGAACTGGTATAGTTAAATGCCAAAATGCATGCTATGGAGCCTCATTGGCTTGCTGATAGGTAGAGATGACTTTGGATTTGATCTTGATGTTTTCAGTGTTTTATCAAACTTTTTCAAAATAAGTGTGTTTCTTGCCTCCTGAAGGTGTTTAAAACACACACACACACACACAGACACACACACGCACGCACGCACGCAGGCACACACACACAAATACACACACGCATGTGTGCATATATACATTGTATCTTAAAAGTCTTTCTTCCTACCTGGTATATAAACACAGACCTATGAAAAGATAAATTAGCATGGAAAGTAAACAAAGTTCAAAAGTGCTGTTTTCCAGAGAGATACAACAATTCTTTAAATGATGACTATGACAAATATCTTAGTTTATGCTGCCTTATTTAAAAAAAAGATTTAAATATTTATTTATATAGATATAGGCCTAAGCACTAAATTGTTGAAAACAGAAAATAAACACCAAGAAAACTTGATGTGAAAACAGGCCATAAGTTGTATCTACTGACTCTATTATTCCTGAGTGGGGAAATAAAATCTCCTAAATGTCTTACTTTTTTCTTCTTCTGTATTTCTTTTGGGTCTTTGACCTTTCTTTGAAATAATTGACCAGGATACTATGAGAAAATAGAAGTCAAATCTCAGATCACATTGTTACATCATTTTGAAACTTTTCTAAAATAAGATTTTAAATTATTTTTAGGTTTTCATCAACTTACACATTTGACCAAGTCTGCATTACAGTTCATGGGTTTCTATGGAGGTTATGGCTAGGTTGGAGTCCTCAGAGAGCAGTACCTGTTTAACATTGGTACTTTAAAACTTTTTTGGATAAATAATGTCTTTAAAGTACCTTTGAACATTGTTCTTAAATTGGGAAAGATTGGTTAATATGTACCTTGCATGTTGAAGTAAATACTATGACAATACAATTTTCATGAAACAGCTGGAAATGAAAAATACTTTGGTAATTTGAGGTCACAGATGTATCTTCCTAAATTGCAACATAAGGAAGCTGGTGCAGTGTTGTCCACAGGCCGTTTCTTGACTGCTGATAATATGCAATTATATGGTTCCCATTTGCTGAACAGAGTAAGCAGTAAAATGAGTAACAAATTCAGCTTTTAGATTTTTTTTTCCATCTTACCCTTTATCAGGTTGTGTTCTAGATTCCCAAAAAGGGACTTCTGTGGGTAGATCCTTTTCTCTCAGCTGGCGTAGCCATCCAGATGTGACTGAGCCAATGAGATTCAGAAGTGCTACTACATCTGGAGCACCAGGAGTTGAGAAGGCAAGAAATATTGTTCGCCAAAAAGCAACTGGTAAGTATTTGTTTAAATACCATTTAACAAATGTAATTGCTATTTAAATGAATTTATAGGAATAAAGGAATATTTTAAGGTTCTGCTCAGAATTTAGATATTAGACCATTTATTAAATGAAATCTGTCAATATCTTTTAAACTTTCTGTTCTGGTTACTTCTCAAGTCACAGGTCTTATTATTATTTATTGCTAAAGTCTATACTATGAAAAGGAGCACAATAAAGGCAGGCACCTTTAGCCTCAGTGATGTCATTGCTAGGCAGTGTTCTTTTTACAGTTTTGTGATAACTGGTTCTAGAGAAGACAAGGAGGTGACACTTGGTTTTAGGAATGAATGGAAATGTTCTCATTTTTTACTTCTTTAAAAACATTGAGCTTCCTATGCCTTAGATGCTGCTTTTACAACCTATTTGAATTTGCACTGTTACTGGATTGAGAACCCGCAGATGACCATACAGCTTTGACACAATTTACTATGTCAAGAGACAAATCTTTAAAAAAGGATGAAAACAATAAGGTTCCCACCCCTCTTTGGGCTCTGATTCTTAGTTTCTCTCATCAGCAGTACCATGCAGTTAGAGTTGATAGTCAACAGCTTCAGAAAAGCTTAAAACGAGTATTTGTTAAGTTTAATATTTTTTGTTCATTGTTTGTTAAAAACTTAATATAGATGGTTTAGCATTGTGTTGGTGGTGTGTCATCTAAGTGTATTGTTCCCTACCCGTAACTTCCTCATTCTGTATGCCTTAGCATTTACTGGTAATTCTCTTTTTAATTATCGGCACCACCTAATCATTTTTTTTTTTTTTCTGTCTCCCCAAATGAAACCCAGTTTCAAAAAACATTTAGCACTGAGGATGCCCACTGATTTCCTGTCTCAGTTCAACTCCTATGGTCTTCTCTCCCTTCAGTGAAAAAGATCACATGTGGCAGGGGCACTGTCCTTCCCAAGTGTGCAGACTTAGACTGCCTTCGCCACCCTCAAATTCCAAGTATAAGCACTAATCAAAAAACACTGCATTTTTTTCATACATGTTGATCAGTAGCAAGTACATGCCTGTTCCATGTGACACAACAAATCTTAGTTTCCACTAGGTGTTTTAAACCAACTGTATAGTAGGAGCACCTGCATGCTTTAGAAAACACTCGGGAAAGGCAGGCTGTGTTTACAAATGCTGTCAAGTATTTGAAGGGCCATGTGACATTGGACAAACCTTTTTCTAAGGTTTGTAAAGATATTTGTGGAATATATACTTTAAAACTGTAAGGTTGGCTTTTGTAGAATTAACTCTTATTTTTGAAGGGTAGTGAAGACTGTCATTTACATGTCTGTTATTATCTTTATGCTTTATGTATACACATGTATACATGCATATATATGCATTTCCTATTGTAGTTTACATCTTTTCAAATGCTAGATATTGTGAATCAGTTATTATCTATTAATGGTCATTAAAGATTTTTGGATACCTTGCTGTCTAATAAGACTGTTTAATAATACACATGGGTAATTTTACTTAGTTTTATTTTCCTACTTTTTAACAAAGCCCAGAGTGTTTTCCCTGTGGTTTGAGTGTATAAAAGGAGTTGCTGTGACTGCAGAAGTTCAGTGAAACAGTTGTCACTGTTCTTCGGAGGAGTTAGTAGCAGTTGGCAGTAATTATTATGGGATAACCACTCAAAAGTAGCTTTGTTTCTCTAATCTCATTAAGAACAGTTTAAGATACTCATATAATGATTCACCCCACTAATTTCAGTTAGGTAATGAAGCTGTCACTGATGGTGACACTGATGAGAAATCAGAGTGTAACCGAAATGACCTGGCATGGAAAGATAACTCTGGCCCTGAGTGTCAGTGATGGTGAAAATTCAGATTTTTAAACTCTGAGAGTGATCAAAGTGAGTCTTAGTCACCACATGAGACAGCCAGTATTTCACTGTTTTCAAAATGCACGGTGATCCATTTGGGAAAAATGCACAGCCATTTGATTTATAAAAGGAAAGCTCTTTAAACAGTGCTCAAATGAAATGTTGGCCATATACTGAGATAAGCGCCAAATCTTTTACACTTTGAAATTTACATGGTTGTTGCCCTTTACATGTTCTCTTACACATACATGATTTATATTAATGTCCTTGCTGGAAATGCTGATAGCAAGGGATAGGGGAAGAGACAATAAAGTACAAAGTTTGTTTCAGTCATTACAAATGTGTCACCATTGTGTATAGTTTTGTTGCACGTATAATTAGCAGAGGCACATAAAATAATAATCCTGTGTATTTTAATTTTAAGGATAGCACTGATTTATTAATTTGAAGCATATTCTCTTTCTGTGTTTGTTTTATTAAATATTTAATTTAACCAACAATGTATGAAGAAATCAAAAGTTTATACAGAACACTTTGGCTTTACTAAATGTGAAATATGACATAAAAGATAGTTTTCATGGATATCTAATAAAATATCTGATTGATATATTCTCGAACTTCTGGGGCATTGACTTCACTAAGTGGGGTAGCTTTTAAATACAGTCAGCTCTCAGTAATTCGATTTCTGAATTATTTATTGGTTAATGGAATTTTTTTTTTTTTTTTTTTTTTTTGTCTTAGACCAGATTTTCCTTTTCTCACTGTGGTCTTTGTATGTGTATGTGAAGAGATAATGATGAACAAATAATGTAATAATGGGATGTGCTTGAGCAAGCAACCCAGGCATCATTAAGATACACTCTGATACATAGCAGCAAAAGGGAGGGTAATGCATGAAGCATTCCCAAATGAAACAAGTTCTTTGTGTGGAGTGACCATTCCAAGTCATCAGTGCTTGGCTGAAAGTTGGCTGTATTTAGAGACTGTGATTAAGTACTCCGGTTTTCTGACTTCTTTTGAAACTTAAGATGGCTTCCTTTAAATGTCTAAAGGAATTGCAGCACCATAAGAACTTAGAAGTGGTCAAAGGTCTCGCTGTGCTCTGATGTAATGTTACTTTATCTCTCCTGGAAGCTAAGCGAAGCCAGTCTATCAGCAACTGTGTCCACCTCTCTGAGCCTTTGCCTGCCACTAAAAGCGTCCCGCTCCTCCTCCATACCGTGAGCGCTCTCTTCCCTGGTCTCTCTTACTCCTCTTGCTCTCACAGGCTGTCAGGTACTGTAATGCTGTCTTGTGTGTCCATCCATGTCACCAGGCTTCTCTCTCCTAGCCCAACTCCTTGCTAGTCATACTCAGGAGGCTGCCCATTTGATTTGTGTTAAATTTCAAAGAATATTGATGGTTGTTTTTTGTGTAGTTCATATTTTAGTAGCAACAAGGTAGTCAAAAACTCTGTAATTCTCCTGGTTTTTGTCAGATTCATGCTGATAATTGAGGTTTTAGTTAAAACACAACAAGAAAAAAGCTAAATAGTGATAACGTTCAGAACATTTTTGTTCTTAGACTTAAGCCAGTTGAAACTGAATTTTGTATGTGTGTGTGTGTGTGTGTGTGTGTGTGTGTGTGTGTGTTTCTCATGATATTATAGTATCTAGCACAGTAAGGTAAATATAGTCAATAATAATTCATTGTGTGTCTTGACATAGCCAGGGTAGGGTGTTTTGAATGAACTTGTCAAATAAGTGGTGAGAGTGATAGATAGACTAGTTATCCTGGTCGATATTACATTGCCCACACTATCCATGCATTACGCTGCCACACTGTGTACTATCACCGTGTGTAATTATCCCATGCCAGTTATAAAGGGAGATACCATAGTATCAGAAGCTACTTTTCTCATGGTTTTCCTAGTCACTTCTCAAAAGGAATTTACTTTCTGTAGTGAGTTATTATATCTACAAAGATATATTTTTTTAGTCATTTTAAAATGAACTAGATCTTCTTAATTAAGAGGGAAATTTTTTCATATTCTTTTACATTTTGAGTTTTGATACATAGAGTGGGTTTGGGGGGGTTGTTTTGTTTGTTTTGTTTTGTTTTTAATATTGGAGATAGCCTGATTACAGTTTCTGTAGCACAAACACTATAGTGTTATTGTAGTTTGGCAAAGTAAAATCAAAGCATAAGTAAAATACCACAATGGAAGAGTGGGGATGATAATGTTGCTTAGAAAACTCTCTTTAGTAAACACGGAATCGTAAATCAGTGAGAATGCCATTTTAAGGGCACCACCAGTTAAGTTGCTGCTTGAATAGTAAATGCTTCGGGATTAGATTTTCCAGAAAATGTTACTTCTTAGAAGTAATAAATGGAGTCTTTAAAAGAATTTGCTATATATTTGGCTTATTGACACCAAAAAGAAATCTTTTAGTGTGAAGTTTTATTTCAGTCTATTTTGTTGCCATACCTTTTCACTTAGGTTTTCTCACTAGTTTTTCTGGAATATGTTCTCAGAGAAATTCCTTCCTATTCATAGCTTCATTTTTTAAAAGTTTTGTTCTTATTCAGGGCTATATTTTGACTTACTCAAATTCTTGTTACTTAGTGTGTACATGGCTCCAGCAGAAGTTGAGTGATTTACTGTCATAATTCTCAACCAAGGATGACTTGGCAACATCTGGAGACATTTTTTATTTCACAGTAAGATGGTAATATTGGCATTTGATAGATAGAAGACAGAGATGCTGCTAAGTACTCTGCTGAGACCAGCCCACACCAGAAGATGTTCAAGCCTCAAATACCAATTATGCAAATACAGCAAAGCCTATGGCACTGTAAAGTGGAGCAGGCTGAACCACATCTGCATTTCCCTGTCTGTGCCATCTTCACTCCTGGTTTTGTAGCAGGGTGACTGAGGACAAACTGCTGCTGCCCTTTCATCTGACAGCTACAGTAAGGCATGCCTTCTCAGTCTGACTTCAGTTGTCCTTTATTAGTTAGAATTATACCGTTGTCTTTGTGACTGTCCTGCCAGTAGACTAGGCCAAAGGAAGTGTTTGCCAGCCCTAGGAGTGTGTATGTGTTGTTCCTGGCTGGCAATTTGCAGCATTGAGGTTGGGTTCTAATCTACATCTGAGTGGATGGGTATCTCCTGCTAAACTGGCTAAATATCAAGCAGGCTTTTTAAATTTTCCTTTCTGGCCATGAGTTGAGGTTTTTTTTTTTTTTTTTTTTTTTTTTTTTTGTTTGTTTGTTTTTGTTTTGTTTTGTTTTTCTTTTCCTTTTGTTTTACTGTTTCAGTGGTTGTCAATTTTGTTTTTATCGATGGCAGTAGTCCTTGTAGTCAACCCACCAAAATCATAACAGAAGCAATGGCAGCACATTTGGAAGTGCAGGAAGCAGAGGTGTTTGAATTTGGGGAAAGTTAAATCCACTCACTCCCATTAATCTGAGTAACTGCACTGAGAAAAACATTTACCTGGGTGTGTCAGCTGGGGAGTCCTCTGTCACTTTCATGAGAACAGTCCCTCTCAGTCTTACAATGTTGACTGCTTTTTTGGGTGGGAGGAACATTTATCAATGTATAATGCTTCCATGCTATGCAAGGGTAGATTTTTCTTTTTCTTTTGGGAGTATTATAATGGTTGTAACTAGCTGATTGACCGTCTTCCCATATCTTACTTTATGGGGGCTTAAGGGCAGGACTTAGCTGCTTCTGTGTCTTGTTCATACACTCCATGGAACTGCTTACTCTCGGTAAGCTTGACCTTGTGGACACATAAGATGTTAAATGGATAGCAGCTCCTGAGTTTTTAGAAGATCAAGGTGGCATCACGATTGTGTTTTTAAAACAAGGGCCTTACATTCTAATTTGGTGTGCATCCCTGTATGGGGAGAAATGGAACATAGTGTTTTCCTTATTGGAGACAGAGCCTTGCTACGTTTAATAAGATGGAATAAGGAAGTCTGCAATTAAAGAGTGAGTAAAAAGTAGACAGACATCTGGAGAAAATAGAAGTTAACTGAAGAGCTTACACATTTAGTTCAGTCATGCCGGCTCTTTGTGGGGGTAAGAGAAATGAATCCTTATGATCATTTTGCTGGTGTTTTCAGTGGAGCTTTCATAATCAGTGGGTTAGTAATGCTGTTGAGTAACTGCATCCTCAAGAGACAGGAAAGTTAGTGCTTTTAAATTGGATGTTATTGGACTTCACAGAGGATAAATGAACTTAAAGAGTGTGGGGCAAAATTCAACTCTTCAAAGTGATTCAAACAGAAATTGTGTGACATTCAAAACAGGATGTATCAAATCTGAGATTTATTGAACAATTGCTGTATAACTCAGATGTTCTTTTTCTGTTTGACAGGCAAACCCGTGTCTTTACATTTTATATCCATGTTAAAATCATTTTCATTAGTTACAAAAGGGCAACTCAACAGGACACAGTAGAATGGGAGCAGCCTTAGCTCAACATGCTTTCTTCAACAGCAACATGCCAGCAGAGGGAGCCCAAGAACCATTAGGAAGGAATGGGTGTTTGGGTGTCCTTTTATCCATTTGTTGAATACTGATAGTGTGGCACACACAAAAGTCCATGAAATATACACCTTCAAATCGGCAAGTTGGACTTATATTATGATATAAGAACAATTGAAAATCCTTTTTTATGCATTTTCTCAATTGATAGTCAACTCCAAGAGTAGGCAGGCCCTAACAGACCAGGAAGGTGTGTGGCTATCCTCTTCCTTCTATTCTAGTCTCCCATTCTTCATCCCTACCATTTCCGGTTCTTTCTACAGGCTTGGACTTTCTCCATCTGAGAAGTTCCTCTTAACAGTTTTGCAAAAACAAAGCCTTAAAAGATGTATTAGGCCCGCCTGTTGGGAAGGCAGACAGCTGGTGGTAGCAGGCTCCTCATCCTCTGTCTTGTGTCTGCTGTGTTAAGGACCAGTGGGGACACTTTAATTTGGAACCGATGGTGCTGTGGCTGTGTTGCATCCCACCAGATGGCGATGTTCTTTATCTTTAGGAGGATGCTGCCAGTGTTGGCCCAGCTCTTATTTACTTCTGCTCAGAACCCAGAAACTGGCATCCACCAGTGTTTGGCACCAGGCTTCAGAGGGAAAAAAAAAAAAAATCCACTCTTCCCTCTGTCCACAAAAATGGGCACGCGCCAATTATTTTTCAGATAGTTAGGAAGCACTTGGGCTCCCTCTACAGATACAGGAGTGACAAATCTTCATTTTGCCATCTTGTAAAATGAGAATAAGAAAGTGACTGGAAGGAAGGGCTGGTCCCATAGTATTGAGGGGCTTAGTGCTAAAGAGTCTAGCAGACCTGTGAAACGAGCCTAGTCTTTACTTTGGTATGTAAGTATACTAAAAATGTGCACATGTGTGTCCTTTATGGAAAAATGACACTAGGTAGAGATGACCTGGGAAAGATGAGACTGTCTCTTCATGCTATGTTGGTCTGTCTTCTCTTTGTGCTCAGGTTCCTATTAGCACCCATCTTTAAACTGTGGTCTATGATGGTGGAACTTGGATTCATAGTTAAGACTCACACAAAACTCATAGTTTTGAGCCTTGTAATTGTGCTAGTATAGTAGGAAACAGAATTTTCATTTGGGTAGAAAAAAAGGAGAGCAGCAAGCTTTTGTGGAGATCCCATGTATTAAACTCAGAATCATTCTGGGTATGCCCATCTCCTTAGGCGGAGTGAGCCTTTACCATGGTTTATGTGCAGACGGGAGAACTTCGTTGGCAGTCAATCTCTATTCCAGGAGAGGAGCCAGTGACATGCCCAGTTTAGATAATACAGGCTGAGTTTTGAGAACTTTCTAGTAAAGATTTCACTGATTAGTTTTTTATTTTTGAAAAATATGGTTACATGGGTGTGGTGATATGAAGTTTTATGACAGCATCAGTGAGTTTGAAGTCTAGTGTGGAACTGACAGGTGGCATTGCATGCAGAATGCAAAGCAAGATGTACAGTTGTATGTGCTTAGAGTAGTGTGGGGATGAGGGGCAGGAGACAGGACAAGATTAGCAGAGAAGAGTGAAGAGTGGGAGGAAGAGAGCAGCAGGAGCCAAGAGGATCAGTATTCCTGAGACCAAGGAGAGTGTGCACTCCTGCATGATGGATGATTGGGGATCAACCTTGTGAGGTAGAATTGAGACAGGCCAGGGGGACGGATGGCAGACACAGTTACATCTTCATTTTAGAGGGGCCTCCCTGGTAGCCATGTAGGGAATAACTAATAAGAAGACAGTAACGAGTTAGTAGGCTGTTCTGATGGCCTAGGCAGAAGATGATATAATCCTTAGACTACATGTCTAGAGGGAGGGGTGGGGTACTCTGACTGGTCCTAAAAGATTAAAATGAACTTCATACTTTGGAAGCAAGCTAGGAGAGATCCCATTCTCCAGGGGACTAGAGGATGTAAAATATTAGCAAAATTATCTGGTGTTGAGCGCTTGCTCATCTTTGGTATTCCATTTTATACCATGTGGATCATTTTTGTGCTTAGTGACTAGTTCAGTTTTTCACATGGTAATGTGAGGATTAAATAGCATTTTATTTTGCACAGTTGTGCATTATCTATTAGAAGGAGTAGTACGGTTAGAATTCCTGTTTCCTTTCATCTTAATCTAATGTTGGGGGATACCCCCTGTGCTCTCCTCAAATATTATATATCTATCTATGCATAGCCTATATGGTTGAGTCTTTCCTGCCTGCTAGGAAATTTCAAAGGATTCAGAGCTATTGACCATTTTGGTGGTTTTCTTCCCTTGTCCCTTTCCTTCACCTGGGAAACAAAAGGTTAATTAGAACTTAAAAAACATATTGTGGAGTCAAATGTTAGTGTTAATAAATACAGGAAGTTTGATTGCATGCATGCAGATTATCTACTGTAGTCTGCTTTCTACAAAAAGAAAAAATTGAAGCTTAGTGTTTTAAATCAGTTAAGTGTGAAGTGTTTTTTTAAAACCAAAGTCCTGTGTGTTTTGTGTTAATGCTTTCAGACGTGGAGGAACTCCAGCAGGCAGAGAGCACACCTGCAGTTGACTCTGAGTATCTTGTGGTGGGACAGCAGCAGGTGCCCCGGAGCAGCAGCACCTCGGACATCACTGAGCCTTTGTGCTCAGATTCTTCTCAAGGTATGTGGAATCTTCAGTTGTTTGTCTGTTTGTTTGTTTGATTGATAAGTTTTGAGACAAGGTCTCGCTCTTTTTCCCTGGCAGGTCTAGAACTCAGTTTGTTGATTAAGCTGGCCTTGAACTAGCAAGTTTCCTCCTACCACTCCCAGGTATAAGAATTAATTACCCTGGGGCTGACTAGGTCCTCAGTTATTAGTACAAAGCCATAGACTTACACTTGGGATGGGGGTAAGCTTCAGGTAGTGTTGCTTATTACATTTATTGCACATTATATATGTGTTGTCTAGAGGCCAGAAGTTGACCTGAGCTCTTTCCTTGATGGTCCTCAACTCATTTTTAAGAATTAATTAATTAATTAACCTATTTATTTATTTATTTGTTTGTAAGCAGAGCTTTTTGCTGATCTGAAAGCTTACCCATAAGCTCTAAGGAGCCTCTTGTCTCCCTCTGCTCTGCCCCAGGTTACAGCCCCATGCTGCCTCATCCAGCTTTTTACATGGCCTCTGGGGATCTGAACTCAGGTCCTCATGCTAGCACAGTAGGCACTTTACCTTTGAGCCACCTCCCCAGCCCAGGTATTTACTTTTTATTTTCACTGTAAGAATGTGAGTTCTAGCCGGTTGTTTGTGGTACATGCCTTTAATCCCAGCACTTGGGAGGCAGAGGCAGGTGGATCACTGTGAGTTCAAAGCCAGCCTGGTCTAAAGAGCTAGTTCCAGGATAGCCTCCAAAGCAATACAGAGAAACCCTTTCTCGGGGTCGGGGGGGAGGGCAATGTGGGGGGTTGAGTTCTGCAAGTGAACCTTTTTTGTTGTTTAGTATATTGTGTATATTTATCTAATAATATAGATACATCTATCCTCCTCCAGTTTGGCATGACTGGCAACTAGAGAGAAGTCTGAAGTGACTGGAGTAGGAGGGTTAGAGAGCTCCCAAAGCAGAGAAGCCTAGCAACTCAGAAGGCAATGAAAGCATTCGAGGCAGTGAGGGAGGGCAAGGCTGTGGGGAGGGCTAGAGGGTTGAAATGGGAATGAGCGCTGAGCAGCTGTGCGAACTTTATTCTCAGCTCACAGACTTCGCACTGAGGTTGAAAAGAATCCTTCCAGAGCACACTTTGGGTTTGTCTAGCTTTCATCAACATCTGGGTGTGGATGGCAAGGAGGGAATCAGTTGTTACTGGAGCTGCAGAGCAGTGTATCTTAGTGAAAACGCACACTTCAGTGTGTACAGGGTCAGTAAGTACTGACTTTAGTTGCATGAGTCAGCCAGTCAGAAAACAACCTGCCTTGTTAGTCAACAGGTTATCCTGTGTCTTCTAATATTGGGGCCAGCAAATGAGGAGGGAAATTTTTCCTTAGAAACCCCCTTGAAATAAGAAATTATAGCAGAACTAAAGATGAGAAAATATATTATCTGAACATTTTCTATTCTTTAAAGTTTTTGTGTGGATTATTAGGGATATGGGTATAGTGGTAGACAACTTGCCTAGCATACAAGAGGCCCTGGGCTTAATCCTTAGGACTATCAGGAGAAACAAAGGGGAAAAGAAAATCCCTTAAATATTTGGGAGAATCCACCAGTTGCTTGGGGTTTTCCTGTAAGAAAAATTTCAAATCCTCTCCCATTTTAATAAACTTCACCTGAGGGAAGAAAAGCTCCAGTGATCTAGGGCACAGTGCAGTGTGCTTCCTTCCTGAAGAGCAGAGAGTGTTGTTTGTTTAAGACAGAGACTCCATGCCCAGGCTGGCCTGGAACTTGCAGTCCACTCTCTAGTCTCTGGTAGCTGGCTTACTGGCATACACTACTACACCCTGCCTAGAGGACCTTTTTAAGTACATATGCTGATTACGGTGGTTTATATATGTAGATTTCAAAACAGCATGCTATATGAGATAAACATGCATTATTTGCCAAGTAAAAAATTTAAAGGACTATAATACTACTTTGATTTTTGTAGTTTGGTTTTGACTTTTTTTTCTAGAAACTGGTTCTGTTTGTTAATTTCTTTCAAATTTATTGGCTCCAGATTATTTTTCAGATGCCCCTATGATATTTTCTTTTAATCTTTGCAGTCTCTGTATTGGTATCCTATTTTAAATCACTGAACCTTTCTGCTTTCTCATGCTAGTCTTTATATTAAGGCAACACAGAACTGTCCTGTTGCTCCTTTACTGTTGCTTCCCAGAGCAACCCTTGCAGACCTTTTGTCAGATGCTGTTCCCAAACCCAACATCCCAAAGTGATGTGTTGTGTTCCCCTGTCCAGCATACTACACTAAGTTGGCCTGTGAGCCACTGTGAACAGTGTTCCATTTGCTTCAGCTGAAGCTGTCAGTGGGCTATAGGCCAGGTCTCTATGTAGAATGGACTTGTAGATGCTGCCATTGCCGACCCATAATGCATGTATGTATCCTATGACATCTGGATACAATTGTTTATTTATCTATTTCTGCCTCTGCCAGTCTGCCTCTCTTCTTGCCTGTTTGTCTATCTCCCCCCCTCCTTTTTTTAACCTTCTAAAACATTCATTTTATCATTTACCCATATCTCTAGGTCAGAAGGTAGAAAATTCACAGAATTTGAGCTCTTCAGAATCCAAGTCTGTTCAAGAGAGTAAAGGACATGTGAAGCGAGAACATGAAGGAATAACAGTAAGATTTCCAAGAGAAAAATCTCTATTTTTATAACTAAACATAAATTATACCATGATAATGAATTTATTGATGATAGTTTTAATTTTTTATTCATTTAAATTGATTGTAGGTCCAAATGATCTTGACATTACTTAAGTTTATACTTGCTTTTTTTGTAAAATGGGGGTTGGGGAAGTTGGCTTGAAGAGGAATCTACTGGTTGCTCTTGTGTTGTACAGTATACTTTGAGGAGGTGTACTTGCCTATAAAACCTTCAATTAAGAATCCCTACCTGGGAAAGATCTGGTGTGATTTTCTTTTATTTTGTAAGGAAGGCATTTATCTAAAACAAGTATAAAACATAAAGAAAAAATGGCCTATGACTCAGATAACCTAGTGTATATTTATAGACAACCTAGCTAGAGTACAGAAAGGGCCTTCCCTGCTCCCATTTCTTTGGAAGATAGCAGAATTGAGTTCCTGTGTCTTTGTGTCTAAGAAAGACACATGCCCAGCTTGTCTGTATAGATCTTGCTGCCCATTTCTGCCAAGTACTCAAACAGTTCTGGTTCTGTTGCATTGGCCCCAGTTTTGTTTTGTTTTTAATCTCATCCTTTTGCCTCCCTTCATAGTGTCATGGTGTTGGCTGTGTTTTATTCTATTATTCACATGTATGTGGCTCTAAACAATATACTATTTAGTTAATGGAGTTTCTAAAATATTCTGTAGGCACTGTTGTTTTGTTCACTCAGTTGTATGTTTATTGAATATCCGCATAGTGTTATGTAGTAGCTAATTCATTTGAGTTTCTCTGCTGTATGTTACTTATCACTTATTTTTCCATTCTTCTTTTGGTAGGCATTTAGATTCTTTCCAGTATTTTAGTTTTCTGAAAAATGTAGTCTTGTACCTCCTTAGACTTTCCTCAAGATTTCCATGTTCAAATGTTTCTCTGTGTGACTGTCTAGCAATAGAATTAGTAAATTATACAATCAAAGATTGTTCTTCTCTGCAAGATAATGCTCCTTCTCCAAATGCTTGTAACCTCTTCCTATATCAGCAATATAAAGAGTTCTCACCAGCACTTTGTGTTGTCAGACTTTTGAAATTTTTGCAGGTCGGCTGCATGGTAATGGGGTATCTTATTCAATTTTTTTAGATTGCTAATAAGGTTTAAAGTTTTCATGTTGATTGGCTATTTATATTTTATCTGTGAAATGCCAGTTGATGGCTTTTGTCATTTGCTTTTTTTTCCCTTTTACTTATATTGTTTCTTTATGTAGTCTGAATAGTGACTGGTTACTGATTTTATTTTGATTATGTTTGTAAAAGACATCTTCCCTGTGTCTGACTATTTTTCTCTTTGGTGTCTTTGGTAAATATAAATTCTCCTTTTTTATAGTCTCTATTATGGTAGAATTAAAACATTCTAACTACAAAAGGATAAAGTATTCCCTTACTTTTATTCTATAAAATGCTTCACTTGTGGTCTACACTTTCAAGTCTCTTGTTCAGCTGAAAGTGGCTCTTGGTTATGCAGGAGGTGATTCAGCCCCTCCCCAATTGCTTGTTCAAGGTCTCATTTATTGAATCTGTTTTTCCTTTATTGATCTGAAAGGCCACATCTCTGTCATATATGCTGTTTTCTGGATATATCAGTCTTGATTTTGCTCCTTGGGTGTTTTGTCTCTGAACAGGACCACAGCATCTTAACGACCATAGTTCTGCTTCCTTCTCCTCTCTCCACCTCTTCTAACAGAAGTTAGTTTTTGTAGTATTTTTTTCTTCCTTGGTGCTGTTTAGATGCCTTCTCTCCATCATGTCTGGTTGTTTCTTGCTGGTCTTTGTCCTTGTCTTTAAGTTTGACTGCAGAGCATCCACTTACAGACTTCAAATGGCATTTGCATTTGTTCTGGTATATGCTACGTCTGTGTGTCTGTGGATACTTTTTTTCTTGTATTTTGGAGAAATCTTGTAGTAATTTCTTCAAATAGTCACACTTTGATTCAATCTTCTCTTTTTGTTCCAGAATTCTAGGTAGAAATATATCAGACTTTCTTATCCTGCCCCCATGTTTCCTAAGTTTCCTTTGGTATTATCCACTCTCCTTGGCCCTATGGATGTATTCTGGGCTGTTTCACCTATAAAAGTATCCTTTGTCTTTTATCAGTTCAGTCAATCTGAAACTAGGAGATAGCCTCGGAGGTACTTCCTGTGAGCTCCAGAATTCAAGCAGAGATTCCTGTGGATCTAGTTCTATACTTGGAGGGGTTCGGACCCTCTTAGTTCTGTTGAGGTGGTTTTGTTTGTTTGTTTTTTACCTCACAAGTGTACTTTTGCTCTAAGTTCAAATGTATTCTTCTATACTTTGTAACTTCTAGTAATCTCTTGTTTGATCATTTTTATTATTCTCATCTTTTATGCCTTTAAAATGTTCAAAAATTGTAAATCTGTATTCTCTGTCTGTTTGCTGCACTCCTCTGGGGTTTAAGTCTGTCTGGAGTTCTTCTGGCAGTCTTATGGTGGTTTGTTCCCAAATTGTTTGCTGATCTTTGTGAGTTACCCTCATGGCTAATTGAATCTGTGGAAGCCTGGAGTGTCTAACTGATGAGGACTCTTCAGGACAGCATTTATATTTTCATCTTCAAGGAGTCAGGAAGTGATGCTGTGATCCTACCTCTCAGTCCTTTTTGTCACTAGCAATGATAGCACTGACTTTTACCCTTACAATAGGTCATTAGATTGCCCTGAGCTCTGTTCACTCTGTTCACTTATGAGGACAGCATGTGGATCCTGAAGGTCTGCTTCCCGTGAGCCCCAGTGTGCAAGTGAATTTGATGAATTCTACATTTTGAGGGTATCTTGTCTCTCCAGCATCAGAAGCAAAAACATTCCACTGTATAGTTAAGGAAGTATCATAAGCCTATTTTTATTTGGGTCATTTGGTATAAATCACTGTTTATCAAAGCTGTGTAGTAATTTTTCATATAGCATGAATTTTGTAAACACTTCATACTTGCCTTTTCATTTCCTCCCTTTTTATTTGATGGCTTTAAATGGCTCCTGAACCTCAGGGCTTTGGGGTGTGTGTTACATCCTGAAGCTTGACTTTTTATCTCACTCCTGGGCTTTCTTCTCTGTCCCATCATTCTAGAACTCTCAAGATGCATTCTTTCTTCCTGTCTTTCTCTCTGTCTTCATCAGTCACTGTCCTCACTTGTGGAAGCTCCGGCCCCACACTGCAGCATTCTTCCCCCTTCCTCTCCTTCCCCTCCTCCTTTGCTGCCCTGTCAGTGCTCTCATCACCAACACCTGCCATGTGCACAAGTACTGAGATTGTCCTTCTGGTTTAAGGACACTTAGCTACTGTCCATCATATTTAGTTGTTCATGTTGTCAGTATTAGTTCCAAAGTTCTAAACCTCATGTTAAAGGCTCCCTAGTCACTGTCTCTTACAAAGTATTTTTTCCCCTCTCTTTCCTTCTCCTCCTGGCTGTTCTGCATGGCCTCTATAATCAGCTCCCTTTCCTGCGCATAGAACTCGCCAATTGCCAGCCTGTGCTCCCTGCTTTGGTTTTCTTCTGCATTCCCTCTACCTCTTCATTTCTATTGCATTCTTGAACCACTCTGCTGTAACTGTCATCTGATTACAGTAACACTTTATTTTACATACCTTTCACAGAAAGTTTATTTGTATATTTTACTTATCTACCATATTGTTTTATTTTGTATAGTTTGTGTATGTTTTTGTCTCTCTAAGCTACTTACAAATTGCTAGAAGATGCACGTTGCCTCCTGATTTTTTAATCATTTGAGTTTAACATAAGGTCCAGTGTTTCTGCTTAGAAAAATTTGTAGTATATTAACTAGGAAGATTCTGAGCAGCTCTTTGGAAGTCTGGGTAGAGTATGTACTTTTCCTTCCTAAACATTCACAGGGCAGTCAGGCCTCCTGGAGAATTGTGGAACCATGTGTGCACTTGACTAGAGAAGCAAATAGAACTTCAAAATAAACCACTTCCACAGGATTTGGCATCCCTTCTTAGTATATCCATTCAGCTGTGTCAGTTGACCAAGCAGAGAATATAAATTGGAGTTTCAGATCTTGAGAAATATATAACTTAATTATACTAGCTTGTGAACACATCCTTCAAAAGGAAAACTTCATTCAGTGTTTTGTTACTATTATTGCTTCTTTTATTTAAGAATAGACTAGGAACTTAAGAGTCTGGTAAAACTTTCAACTTCCCGGTAATGAAAGCAGCATTTCTTTTTGTCTGAAGATCTTGGTTCGAAGGAGCAGCAGTCCTGCTGAGCTGGATCTGAAGGATGATTTACAGCAGACGCAAGGAAGATGCAGGGAGAGACAGAAGAGTAAGTTCCAGGAACTGGAGTCTGCAATACTGAGTGCAGAGTGGGCCTGTTTTAGTTTCTTTTTTTCCCAAGTGGAGGGGTTATCTTGTTAATAGGAAAGCGATGGTTGTGGAGAATTTTTTTGATCCAGGAACTTAGAAACCATGTAGTTAATTCAGTTAGTAAAACAGTTTCAGTCAGTTATCTCTACCCCAAAGGCCTATTTCTCCATCCCTGGGCCCTTCTCCAGGCGAGAGGAACAAGAGGGACTTAGGGGAGCAGATAGTCCCATAAGAAAAAAGCTACCTTTCCCACAAAATTCCCACAGGGAAGAAACAAAAAGCTTCACAGGTACATTGAAATCAGTGGGCAAGTGTGTGAAAATAAAATCTCATTGGAATCCCAGATGTTATCATATGCTATGAAGTCTGGGCCCTGTGCCTTATTCCCATGTGCTTAGAGGCCAGGTCTCCTCCTTGTCAATGTGGCATAGTGGCAGCCCCTGCACCCCACCCCTCCCAGGGCTGTTCTTCCCATGTACTGCCTTCCCTCTCTGTTGCCTGTAGCTCTGTGGAGGGTTTGCTGAAAGACCTAGCAGATGGTCCATCTGCTAGGACAACTTTCAGTCCTTTGCAAATAGATAAAGTACAGCAGTAGAGACAGCTCAGCTGGGGAGCTATCAGCATTGTTAGGAAGTAGAAAAACTGTCTAGGCAAGCAGTTCTGCTTGTCTTATACTAAATTAAATAAATAACTACATAAGTCTTAAAATCTCTGCATAATTACAATGTGATAAATTAAATCTTGTAGTGTTTAGAGGAGAAAATTTCCAGTGTTTCAAATATGTAGTAGTAGGATACCTCATTCCAGAATCCTCCAGCATGAATCAGCCTGGGTTTAAGTCTAAACCTTGGGCTTGCAGTGGCAGAGTGAATTTGCAATGCTGTGAAATTGGTTACCACCATATTCCTCTGTTTCTCTATCTCCTCATGATATGGATGGATCTTAATGGGAACCAGAACTTGGTGTAGCTTTGAGGCACAAGGAATAACTGAACAAAGACACTGATCATAATGTTACTTCATGAAGCCTTTTAATGCCCTGTGCTTAGAAGATTTATTTTTGTTAAGCAGGTGACCATTAGGGACATTACTGAACCCCAATCAAGTTCTTCAGGTTGTCCAAACCCCTGAGCAAATCCTGTCAGCTGTGCAAGTGTTGTTACTTACATGGAGATCATTTTAAACCTTATCTTCATCTAGCTGCAGTCTCAAACTTTGGTTGCTCTGTGTGCCAGGTGAAAGTACTGGTAGTGACACAGCTGTGGGCTCCAGCAATGAGACAGAGCTACCCATGAGCCAGTGGCAGACCTGTGATGAGGACCCAGAACTCAGCACTCCCACAGATGCTGTGGCTGACTCTGATGCCCGCCATTGGTTACAACTGAGTCCTACTGATGCTTCAAACCTAACAGGTAATTATGTCTGAGAAGGATTACTGCTGCAAACAGGAGATCCCAGCGTTCCCTGCCTGGGAGAGATGCCACTGTCAACCACAGTGAAGTTGCAGCTCCAATCACCTGCTTACAATTGCTTGTGAATTCTTAAGAGTCTTGGATGGAATGAGTTTTTAAATCAGGCAGATGTGGGAGGAAGCCTGCCATGCTTATGACCATCGTCCTATGCTAAGAAATGATGGTACCCATACCAAGCCCTTTGGAGACAGAAAATGATAGGATTTTAGCTTACATGTACCACCCATGTAGAATAAAGGGATTGACTGTCTTATTATTTAGTTTTTAATTATTGTAAAATATTGGCTACAATGTAAAATTGTGACATGTGTGCTGGCTAATGGGTCATAATAATGAAATGAACAATAGTAGCCTGCTGCTATCTAATTTAGTGTCTAGAAGAGTATCCACATCAGTGAGGTTCCAGAAGCTCCGCTCAAGTCTGTTATCTTCTTCCAGCAACCTGTAATGCTCGCCTCACTTAAAAAAAAAAAAAAAAAAATGTGGAACTGTAATGTCAGTGTTTATATGAATATGGTCTTTACTTGCTTTTCCTGAATAAAGAAGTTACTAATTGAAAAACAAAAGTAAAATATGAGTGTAGCTGTGTAAGCCTTTAACTTCAGCATTTTGGGCAGAGTCAGGCAGATCTGGGAAGTCACTAGACAACCAGTCTAGTAGAAAAGGCAAGCTTTCAAGTCAATGAAAGGCTCAACTTTAAAAGACTAGAGATTGATAGAGGAAGACACCCAACTTCTGACTTTTTCATGCATTCACTAGGCACCTGTACTCTCACACACACATATATGGACCATGCCACATATAAGTAAATAAATAAGTGATCTGATAATTCTTACTGGGTATGGTGGCATACTGTAATCCCAGCATTTAGGAGTTGAGCCAGGAAGCACATAGAAAATAAAGGCCCATTTTAAGTGCTAAAAATCACTGAAAAGTAAAAATAAAGGCTAAAGTTTTATTTTAAGTGATTGATTTTTTTAAATATCAAGCAAAATTTAATTTTCATTGTGATATAAAACCTATATAACCAAAGTATCTGTTATTTTTAGAAATCCTGTGTAATATAACATTAAAATGTCATACAATTAGCATAAATGGTATTGATAAAATTCTGTCAATACTGTAAACTTACATAGGATTTAAGAAATCTAATTTTGTATGGCAATCAGGCTAACTCTCTCAATTTCTTTTTTTTCTTTCTTTTTTTTTTTTTTTTTTTTTTTTTTTTTTTTGTGAGATCCAGAGAAACCATGCCATCCCACTAGAAAATACTAGTAAGTGCCTGAGGTGGAAGTTGCCTCCAAAGGCTGTGCTGTCTCTACCCTCCCCGCTGAGTTACAGCCAAAGTAGCAGTTGTAAAGCCCTTTGAAATGCTGGAGAATTATTAATGTGTTTATGAAATAAACAGCTTATTTAGGTCCAATGTATAAGAGATTTCACCATGATGTTGCTATAGACTTAGTGCTGAATCTGACTTGAATGTTCTTAAAGATGAACCAGATGTAATTATTTTTATTGAAAGGAAAGAAAATTGGATGAGTGCTTCTTTTGTTTGTCCTTGGGAAAGATTAGTTTTGATCCCATTTCAGAGTATGCATCTGACTGCTTAGTGTAGTGAGCTGTGTAACTCTGTATGATGCACCATGTTGCGATTAACTCCTCCAATGTGGAGAATCAGTACACATAGTTCAAGAGTTCACCCTGTCAGCTGTGGAAAGGACAAACTGTAATATGATGAGGCTTAAGGATTATCACAGTTCTGAACTTAACTTTCTGTTCTTAAGAGAACGAGTTCTGCATAAATGGAAAAAAATTGAAACTCTTGTTAACCTGATTTTTAGGATACAGAAAGAGCTAGCTATTTGATGGGGCTTGGACATGTGGCTCAGTGATAGTGCTTGCCTAGCAAGTATGAGGAGGACCTGGGATTGATCACCAGAACTGCAGAAAACATAAAGTGTTGCTGTTTCTTACCGAATAATCCTGCCTATTATCACTTGCTTAGAGTGAAGTCAGAGGCCAGCTAATAGACTACTTTCATATTTTCTTGTTGTTTAAATCATTTTATGTTAATAAAAACAATGGCTCAGTTTATTATGCATTGTTCCAAAATATACCTGGGCTGTGTTTAATTAGGTATATTAATTCATGTAAATAAAATGATGGTAATTAGGGGAAACGTTTATTTCACTTGTCTCTGGACACAGTGGCTACACAGGGAATCTCCATGTTCAATCAAGAGGCACAGGAAGCAAACATGGAGAGCAATCTCTATTGTCTTATCCACGGGAGAAACAGGGCAAGGTGGGGTGAACAGGCTTCTGTAGGTAACCTCAGTGGACTCTGGAGTACGAGGCTATCTAGTTGACTGGGATTTGGCCCTAGAGTGGGAAAGGCAAGAGTAGATAGGCTTGTGTGAACTTTGATTCATTCACATAGGAAAAAAACAATACTCTCTCTAGTGACGAGTTTGCTGTTTTTACAATTAAGAAACACTAGGAGGGGCAGTCCCTCTCTAATATGCAAGGCCCCAACTGCCATAGCATTAAGAGTACAGAAAATAAGAAGATGCAATAATACGTGCATCAAGTCTGCTTAGGGAATAACTCATGAGTAGGATATATCTGTGTCTCTGCTTCTACAGTCAGCATTGTTGCCAAGCTCATCCCTTATTAGCAGAGGAGCCAGTGATCTAGAAATATCGATTTAGATGCTGTGAGGGAAAAAAAAAAAAAAAAAAAAAAAAAAAAAAAGGATGGGGCTAGGGAGATGGCTCATTGGATAAAGCACTTGTCATTGCAAGCATGAGGTATAGTTGGATACCCAGAGCCCCATGAAACCAAGCAGGTATAGCTGTCACTTGTAGTCCCAGTTATTCAGGAGTCAGGAGTGAGAGATCCTCAGGAAGACTAACTAGAATTTGTAAGCTCTGGGTTCAGCGAGAGATTTGTTTTTCTCAGTAAATAAAGTGAAGTGTGATTGAGAAAGACCACCAGTGTCAACTTCAGGGGTCCCCCATCTGTACTCACACATGTATAAGCAAACACAGCCCACACATACATGTAACAAAAAAGATAAATGAGTCATAGCTACTGATTTCTTAAGTATTTATAAACAGAACAGATGTGTCCTGATTATTCACAATTAATGTGGCAAATGCTATATATTTTATATAATGAAAGTTAGAATCTTAGGGATAGACAAATAGACTAAAAGAGATGGATATAGAGTTCCGAACTGATTCCTCACAGGCATGGGGTCGTGGTGTGTGAAGAGGTCTTCCACACCTAGCAGGGAAAGAATGTACTATTAAATGGATCCCTGTGTGACAAATACTTACCCATGGTGCGGTAAAAGGCGGAGAGCCCCTACCACACACTGTGCTTGAAGTCAGTTCCAAAAGCATAAAGTTTTCAAATATGAAAAGGAAACTTTAAAAACACTTCAAAGAAAATGTCTTCTAAAAAGTAAAAGAGAAAAAAAGAAAAAGCTCTATGATCTTGGAGTAGAGAGGGTTTCTTAAATGAAAAAGGAAAACAAGCAGCAAAAAGCTAACCCAAAGAAAGTGTCAATATTTAAATCTAAGCAAAACTAAAACTTTTAAAATCAGAGAAGCTTTAAGAATTCCTAGACTAATTAGAACCCCAAAAGACAAAGCTCAGCTTTGATGGTCATTCCTTTCCAGGTTCCTATCACATTTAAATAAGATTTGATAAGAAACAGCAGTGTCTTGCTTTGGATGGGAGGGGCCAGTGTCTTCAGATGGATTATGAGCTCCAATAGGGAGAGCAGATTTTCTCTTGTGTGCACAGAATACTCCTGACTCCCTGAACAATGTGGGTAAGAGAGGCCCTTAGTAAATAGTCCAAATCCATGAGCAAATATTCTTTAAACTTCAGATTATTATTTTAGCTAAAAGTATCAATTAAATTTTAACCTTAAAAAATCACATATGTAATTTCATATCTCCTTTATTAATTTATTGATCAATGACCTACATCCAAATGTCCCTTATAAGAAATCCTTTTAATTACAGCTATAGATGGGAATTGAACATGTTCGCCTACACTGCAGTGGATTTCTTTTTTAGAGACAGTTCATCAGTATTCTCTATCACACACATTTTTGCTATTCTACCAGCCTCTGGTATACTTGTATATCATGAAATATTGTAAAGAAAAATAATAATAAAAGCTATAGTGGCATGGGCAAATCACCTTCTAAAGTCTTTAAGTTGGGATTGAGCAATAATGAAAGCAGATAGGAAAGGGAAAAGAGTCAGGCCATGGAGTAGAATGCCAACTTGTACCCCAGTCTTCTGATTGTTGAGGTGATTGATCACTTGGCTTTTCTGTCCATACAGTTAGTTAACAGGAGCCTGAGAAGTAATATCTTTTGTTTAAAAAAGAAAAAAAAAAAAGCCTAAATTTGCTCAAACTCTGCCAAGACTCCATAAAATAGCAGCTGTATGAGTTGGCCTTTTAATCATAAGTACCTATCTGCCAGTTAAAATCTGTTGGTATTTTCAAATTCCTAAATTTTATGTTTGTGCATTATAATTACATATGTATTTGGAGAAAGATGATAAAATTTTTACATAAGTGTAAGAGTTCATACTTTAGTAATTTTGAAGGCCTCTGTAACATTTAGAAATAGTGAAACAGAAAGACATTAGGCTACCAATGAAAATAAAGCAAATATTTGGTATTTTGGAGGTGAACATAAAATTTTCTAAAATCTCTTAAATCCCCTGTTTTAATCAAGCGTTCCTTCATCGAGGACCCGTCTACATGTAAAATGTCAGCATCTGTTCTGGAACTTGTGCCACCAGCTGAATAATTTTGGACAAAAACAGTTTAGCTCATTAAAAATTTCACAGTGACATTGAAAAAAATGAACACAGTCCCTAGAAAATCTACAGAACCAAGCATATTGGGGGATATTGCCTATGATTTTAATGTGTGAGGCAGGAATGGTTCCTGAATGCAAAGCAGTGTTGAAACAGATTTCCTGTTTCAACTGAGGGTGTTGCTTGACTATGGCACAGCAGTGCAGGTAGTGGGTGTGTACACAGACTTCATGCACATGGGACTAGTGACTTCAGCAAAGCAGCAGCGTTCCTGGGACGCTGGGCTCATCTCACTTTGTATGGCTGTGTCCTTAAAGTTGGGCTAATACAATGAGGCAAAGCTGTGAATCACCTCATTTTCTTACCCCTCACCAAGGATTTGCAGCAATGTGGCAGTCTTATTGAGAGAAATAAATGCCATATCATGCTTCTTGTTCACTTGAGGGCTTATGTTGATTCATAAGCGTCAATTAAAGCTTCCCCATGGCTTTGCAGAGTAGCAGCTGCTTGGTTCTGTGCTTGATTTTACAGGAGGAGCCTCTTCTGCTGCTTTGTAAAAGTCAGAAAATGAAGAAAACCCACCATTAGGCTTTACCCTCTGTGCCTTCAGTTTTTCAGACATGGCTCATGAGAGCTCTGGTTCAGATGTCTGTCTGTACATGTTAATGTATCTTCTCAAAGGAGTATATGATGTTCCTCTGGAAGGAATAGACTCATTTTCCTCCAAGAAGCAACAGTGCTCCCAAGGACAGCCTTCCTACAACACTACCTGTCATCCTTCCTGAATCATTTGTTTCACTGTCTGGGGAGCTTTCCATCAATAGCATAAAAATCTGTTGGATCCACCTTGGACTGACTTTCTCCTTTTCAGAGTCACTCCTCTGGCTCCTCATTGGCCTTCTTAGACCTTTCCTCAGTACAGAGATGTGCTTCATTTTCTTAGATGAAGCCTTAAAAACTGCAAAAGTCGGTTCATCTTTATTTGTATGGGGTAAATGTTAGAAGTAGGAGGCAGTGATGGGGCAGAGCACAGGAAGCCAGTGCATCCATTTGAGAACTTATAACTGGGCACAGTGGCTATCATGGTTTATAATCCCAGCACTTGGGAGGCTGAGGCAGGAGAAGTGTTGGTAGTTCAAGGCTTGCCTGGATTACAAAGTGGGGCAGCCTAGTGAGTGAAATATAAAACAAAAATAAATAAATAAATAAATAAATGGAAAGAAAGAAATATAAGAAGAAGAAAGAGACTTAATTATCACTGCCCACAAGCTGTTGACTTTATTCCAGAAGATAAAGTAGATGACAGTGTATCTGGGCTGTGATCACTAGTGTGTGACTAAGCACAGGCATTAGATTAGATAAGGGTCTACATACTTAGTTAGCAAGAGAGAGGTTTTGGGGGAAATCTTTTCCTGGAGTTTGAGTTCTAGGAAAAATAAGGAAACAGCCAGGTATGGTACTATGTCCCAGTAATCCCAGGAATTGGGAGTTCCAGGCCAGCCTGAGGTACAGAGCAAATCCGAGGTCAGCCTGGGCTGTACAGTAAGATGTTGCCTCAGCAAAACCAACAACCAGAAACTAAAATCTGGGTGTTTGAGACCGTTCAGGAGGTAAAACTCGACTCCTGGGTTCAATATTCAGGATTCTTAACTAGGGGAGAACTGACTCCTGCAAGTTGTTCTCTCCTCTCCACATGCATAGCATGGCATCAGTACACCCACACACATACACAAATATGCACATGGAAAATAAGTAAGTTTTATGAATACCAGTGTCCAGAATGTAATGTAGCTCTGAAGACATGCCTGTGTGAACTGTTTGCACTGAGCCCTGAACCTGTGGAGCTGCCAGGAAGGTGCCACAGGCTGGAGGTGTCACTCAGTGGGTACAGTGCTGGCCTAGTATTTGTGAGGTCAAAAATTGGATCCCTTGAGAGCAGGTGGTATTGGAGAAGAAATGAATGTAGAATTGAAGAAATAGAGACAAAAACTAATAATTAGATATATTGAAGATGTAACTATGTGAATGGCATTTGAATCTGGGGCATCAATCTGTGTGAGAAAAAGGTGATGGGAGAGAAGAGAGAAACGTTTTGTAGGCCCTTGAGTATCTGAAGACCCACGAGATGGAGAACTGGCAAGAGGAAAACCAGGTACATGTCATATCCGGGGGTCAGACAATGAAGCATCTCAGAAAAGAGGCCTAATTGCACACATCAGATCTGCTGGGGGTTGAGAATGAAATTTTCTGTTTAGGACCATTGGTGATCTGCTCAAGCAAACCCAAGTGGAGTAGAGGGGCTGGAGCATAGTGAGGGCTGAGGTTTTGATACAGAGAGCAAGCTTTGGGCAGTCTCCAGAGTGGAGGATGTTTGCAGACTGGAATGAAAACTCTGTGCTGAAAAATGTTTGGAGAATACCCCTCTCCACAAGAAACAAAAGGGCAGAACTGTAAGAAAAGAGTATATGGAAGAAGTATTCCCAAAGAATGAGAAATGAAAAAATATCACATGATGCTTTTGCTGCTATCTACGATTATTCTATATAGAGTGTAGGAGGAAATATTCTTGCTGTGATGCAGCACTCTTGAGTCCTTAAATGTATTATTGTTCTCTCTTCTCTAAAAGAAAAAAAGAAAAAAAAATCAGTGGGGTGACAAGATGGCTCGGTGGGTAAATATGTGAGTTTGATCATTAAGATCTATGTAAGAGGAGAGAACCAACTCCCAAAAGTTGTTCTCTGACCCTACACATCATGGCATGTGCTTGCACACATACACAAATATATAAATAAATAAAATTCATCAAAACAATTTAAAGGGCCAGCAAGGAATGACACTTCAGAGAGAAAGGCCCTTGCTACCAAACCCAAAGACATGAGTTAGATTCCCAGGACTCATGTGGTAGGAGTGAACTGACTCCTACAAGCTGGTCACCAGAGACTTTCCTGGTTGCCTGTTTTCATGGTACGTGTGCAGACCTGACCCCATCCACCCGCTCCACAGGCTCATGATTTTAGGAAGCTTGAGAGTTGGTCAGTTTGGTCTTCTCTAGCCATTAGCTACCCCAAGCAACAGGCTCCCAATAAACAGATTTCTGTATCTTCAGTGATAGCTGTACATCATTGAATTCATTAGACATTTATTTCAGAGTATGAAACTTTACACCTCATAATTCTCTGTGTGTTGGAAGATGTGCTTGTGTTTTGGGCTGCTAGCCATGTCCCTTTGTTCTAGGGCCCTTGTCCATACTACAGCACAGTCCATTTGTTCAGCTTGTCAATGCATGAATCATATGCCACTGCATACTTAATATATTTAACTTACTAAAGAAATGTAAATGAAATGTCAGCAAAATACCACCCTTACCTAGTAGAATGGACACAGAACTTGAAACTGTCATAACCAAGTCCTAGTGAGGATGTGGACAAGTGACACTTTGGTACTCCACTCAGGGTGATGCTGGCTGTACAGGTTCATGGGAATGCCGTTGCAGAAAATGTTCTCAGTCTCTTTTCTTTACTTTGACATACTGAACATGAACTTACGTTATAACCCAGGATCTCACTCCAGTTATTTACCAAAGAGAAATATATGTCCACCCAAACATGCACATGAATGCCCCTGGCTGTTTTATTCCTAGTTACCCAAAATAGGAACCAGTCTAAATGTCTGTCACCATATGAAGAGATGAACTGTGATATATCTCAAAACAGAATGTTAATCAACACTCAGAGGTAGCAGACTCCCAGTGTACACACTCTACTGGATAAATCTCAAGTGTGTTCTGTTAAGTAAAAGAAACCGGCAGAAAGGCTAATTACTAGAATTGAATTTATAAGAGATACTGGAAGAGGCAGATCTGAGGGGACAGGGTTACAGAGCATGGGTGTAAGGGGCTTAGAATGAGGAATGGGGCTGACTGTGAAAGGGTGCTTTTCAGACTGATGGACCTGAGTCCTGTCCTGGTTATGGGGGGATGAATGGTGACTGTTACATGACTACGTGCATCCCTCAGACCTAAAGAAGGCGAAACTTTCTTGTATGCAAATTCTATCCTCCATAAACCTTGAAAACCAACACAAATGTCTTTCCACCTTGAGACACCCCAGCACTTCTACTATCATGGTGCCCATCTCTCATCTTCTCGCTTGCTTCATAAAATCCTTCCCAGGATCACCCCAGGTATATATGGTTTTCTTGTTGGGCTTTCGGCTCGAAGAATCAAGTGCTTGCTCTTTCTTGACTGATTCTCTTTTCCTGTTCTATCAAATTCTCCACCATGTTTTAATCTAAATTTAAGCACATGTAATTTGCAATAAGGCTAAGAAACTACGATGATCAAATCAAGGTCATGTTGACAAATTTACTTCCATACTTTCTCCACAGATAGCAGAGAATGCCTTGCAGATGACTGCAGTATAATTGCTGGAGGGAACCTCACTGGCTGGCACCCAGACTCCGCTGCTGTGCTATGGAGAAGAGTCTTGGGAATCCTTGGGGATGTGAATAATATCCAGTCACCAAAGATCCATGCCAGGGTTTTTGGCTATCTCTATAAACTGTGGCACAAACTGGCCAAGGTGTGTTCTGCTGTTACCTTTTATACTAATCCAGAAAATTTAACATACAAACTATTGACTGCCTTCTGAAATGCAGAATTATCGCGGTTAAATAAGGATCAGGATAAACAAATAGGCCGAATAGATGTTTATTGAGGGAGAAATAACTTACAACCTAGACAGATGAACACCAGGGAATTCCACCGGATGCTCTCCTGTCTGAGTCACGCCAGCAAGAGAGCTTTTCCCGGCTCTCTCTCCAACCTCCTTCCACAGGTCACTTCCGCCCATGGCTCCACCCCCAAATGGGCGTGGTCAGTGCCACAGAAGGACTATCTCACTACACAGAATATGTATTTAGATGAAGTACATTTGAGTGTCCAAGAGTAAGTCATAAATAATAGCTATAGTTTTAATACTTTATTAAATGCCTTAGAGTTATTTCATTTAGTATAAAAGTATATAGTAGAAGATATTAAGAATAGCATACTGTGTGGTTTCATTATGCATTTTAGTAAAGTGATACTATTTTGATTGTGCAAGGCTGGGAAAATGTAGAAAAGCATGAAGATATTTATATCCCCATTTTATATAATAATCAATATTAATTTCTAAAATATATCTACTCCATGAATAAAGACATTTTACAAAATAAAACTATTAGAGAAGCTAAAGTTTTTATCCTGTCTTTTGTTTTGATACTAAATATATATTTTCCATCATTAAGTATTTTTCCAAAACATGACATGTTCATATAGCATAATTTATGAAATAATTTATTACCATTTGGAGTTCAGGACCTCCCTAGGTATTCACATACTAGGAATAGCAATATTGTCTTTTGTGTTTCAAGCTACAGCTACATGCAATAAGCCAGAAACAATCTAAAATGACAAGAAATATCATACCTATAAATACTATAGTTTTCTCATTCCACATGTAAAATATAGATATGATTTCTTGGCTATGCAAGACGATATTGGTATATGGTTGTATAAGTAGAACGTTATCTTACCTAAAATTCTCTTTTGAATTAGATACGAGATAATCTAGCTGTAAGCCTGGACAACCAGTCGTCTCCATCTCCTCCGCTCTTGATCCCACCACTCAGAATGTTTGCATCATGGCTATTCAAGGCAAGTGTTTATTCTTTTATTGCAATTTCCTCTTCCCTTCTGAAATTGAGTTTAAAAATTGTAATTGCCCAAGACTGCATGTTTTGAAGACAGGCTGGGTCTTACTACAGCCAACACATCCCACATCTCCAAACAACTCTTCAGGAAAACTGAGAAGTAAATGAAATGTTGAAATGCTGTGCATCTGGACTTGATTTAATCTAGAAACATCATCTCCTTGGCAGGCTACGACTCTGCCAAATGAATATAAGGAAGGCAAACTGCAAGCCTACAAACTGATCTGTGCCATGATGACCAGACGCCAGGATGTTCTGCCAAACTCAGATTTCCTGGTGCATTTCTACCTTGTGATGCACCTGGGATTAACCAGCGAGGACCAGGTATCCTGTGACTCCTTTATCATGGTGTACTATAAGAAACTGATTACCACACTTTAGATGTATCAGGGCTTGTAAAAATATACCAGAACTGCTTAAATCCTCAGTGGCTTCTACTCTTCTCACATATGGTCTTTAAAAATGTGATCAGGGCATTCCTGCATCTTCTTTTCCCCTCACTGACTCTGCGTGCACCAATTAAATCTAGATCTTACCCTGAGATCTGTATGATCCACTTTGTTATCAACTTCAAAGTGCCATCTCAGCTATATTTCTTCTGTTGTTCTGGCCAATTTAAAAGTATTTGGAGATATGTGAAGTACAGTAACATAAATTAAGGCTCTTGCCATTTCTTGATGTGGAGGTACTTTTATTTCTTTCAAAGAAACAAGTTTTTGTTTGGTAGGAACAAAAAGACCCATGGCCTTCACCAAGCTACTCCCATCTTTGTAGACCCTGGATTTAGGATTATAGAATGTGGCCAGTACCTGGTCTGCCTCTCTTAGGAAGTCTCCTTGCACTTGTGAGGGACAGGAGGAAGGATGTGGATAGGCATATGGACTTTTGAAAGCTGTTCTTCCTATATTTACTTATTTCTTTTGTGTGTAGTGGTGTGGGGGTGTGGGCACTTCAGTGGCACAGCTCAAGAATGGAGGTCAGAGGACAACTTGCAACAGTCAGTTCTCCTTCTGCCATGTGGGTCCTGGGGATTAAACTCAAGTCACCAGATTTAGCGCCAAGCTTAACATCTATTCATTTTTCTTGAGGATGTGCTTGAGTCTTCCCAGTGCTTGAGAAGTGGTCACCATATTCTCTGGTTCCCTGGTACAGACTTTGGGCTTTACTCATTGAGCTTCGTTCTGATACTGTCCCGATGAGTTGTGCTTGTCGTGTTTCCTCTGAGTATCATTAGTAGACTTTGATAATAGCTGAGCTTGGACCCATGGTTTCATTTATTTTTTTTAAAAAAGATGTCTAAGTAGGGACGTTAAGTACAGCCACTTGGATTCTCTGCTTAACTATTTCCAGCTGCTCCTGCAGGTGGAAGCCCCTCCCACAGAGTGAGGCAGAGCAAGGAAGGTGGAAGATGAAGGGGTGTAAACAGGAAAGAAAGTCAGTCACCTTCCGAGATTGTAGTGAGCTTCCTCAGTGTAGGAAGGTTGATTTTATCCTGTGTTAAAGTATTGTTCTGCTAAGATTGTTCACGGAAAAAAAAAAAAAAAAAAAAAGACATGATTTGGAAATAATGATCAACTGTAGAATTTTTTGATATAATTAAAAAAAAAAAACAAATCTGAAATAAGCACAAAGCAGTAGTTCTTAGAATGATGTTTTGTTTTTTAAAAAAACAAAACAAAGTCCCATAAGGAGGTGAGAGTTTAAATTCATCTTTCTGTTTAAGATGTGCCATTATGAAAATGAAACAATAAAATATGAAATAAGGATTGTAGCATTTAAAAACTCTTTTAGCAGTATGAGTATGTTTTTATGAATGGTTTTAAGAATATTTTACATTCAGGAAAAATGTTGAAATTATATACTAAAAATTGTCTTCACATTTTAATGTACATCACATTTTCAGTTAAATGAAGACAGTGATCTTTCATAGATTTGTTATAAAATAATATAAATCTTAAAAGACAGCCCAGTACCAGCAGCAATACTATCATTGCAGACTTTGGGGACAGAATGGGTTATCATACATCTCTATTCTATAATCAACCTATTGTGTAGGCCAGTAGGAGCCTGGATTTTTATGTGGCTTTAATAGAATTAACTATTTTACCTTAACCTTAACAATTATTAGTATATATTTTAGAAGCCCTGGCTGTCTGCCAAACAGAATTACCCTAAGTGAACTTCATTTTTTTTTTCTTTTTGCCAAAAGAAACTTACAGAGCCCTAATGAAAGAAACCTTTCTCATTTAAGTAAGAAATGTCTCTGGTTAATTAGTTTAACTTTTGGCCCACATGTCTAAATAGATCATGGTGGTTGTTTTAGAACTTACATGTACTTCTGGAAACAAATGCTATATTCATTATAAAAAAAGAAAAGAAAACATTTGCTACAGAGAATACGGTTAAATTTAATTTTTTAATTGGTAAGCCAAGCACCTGTAGCTGGTACTGTGTCAAGGCTTTTTTTTCCATTTTGTGAGAGCCACAAAGAGCTACACTTCCATTTAAAGGATTTGTTTGTGAAGAAGAAAAGTCTAAAGACTATCCTTTGTTTTGAAAACAAGTAATAGCAAATACATGTATGTTTAAATTTAACCTTTAGTAGTTTTGTTTTACAAATAAAACACAAGCTGTGTTGTCTCCTTTGGCCTCCGGGTGGCACCCTTGTCTGCTCAACCTAGTCATGTGGTTTAAAATCGCTGGATGAGACAGAATCCTGTGATGAGTGTGTACAACAATGTGTTTTTCAAAATGTGATCCTAAATCTGAGCATGTTGAGATTATGTCTGTCAGTAGTGCTCAGTAAAATGCTGAGGTGTGAACAAGCACTAAGAATTAACTATCCTTTCAAACATAATGATGCTTAAAGTAATTGAGACATTCAAGTGTAAAAATCATTCATAAAATATATACCTCACAAATTGCCCTCTGTTCTTGTGTACAATCATGGAAAATCATGACTTTATATAATATGGTACCAAATTTGTTATGTAAGTCAAACAGCCAGAATGCCAGATGTAGTACATCTAAAACATTTGTAATAGTGTTAGCTATCTCGCTAATTTATTTAATATTCAACATAATGACCTTATCAGATAGCCTTCCTCTCTCAGTATAGCTGTAATGTTGGTTTGTAGTTTGTCTGCATGATTGAACAAATCCATAAAATGGTGGCTTTTTTTCCCACGATAGGGCCCTCCTCCCCAATTTTTTTTTTCTTTTATTTTAAGACAAGATGGCTGTCCTGGAATTCACTGTGCACATCATGCTGGTCTCAAACTCATAGCGAACTGCCTGCCTTCCAAATGCTAGATTAAAGGCATACACTACCACGCCTGGTCCTGGGTTTCTTTTAAACAATATTGATCTTCTTACCAGTCCAAAAATATTTAGGCTCATAAGCACCTTCACATTAGTGACCAATTATGAACTAATTCTATGTGACTTGCAGGATTACTTAGCCTATGAAGGATCTTCCTTTGGCTTCCCCTGCTCAGCTGCACGTGCCTGATATACTGGGTGGAGCTGAAGTTGGAGAATGTTTGTTCTCCTAGATCCACAATGCCAGACTCTGTACCACACTGTCCCATTGATTCTTCTCCACAGTTCACATGGATAGATATCACATCCTATTTTATGAGTAATGAAAGCTCAAAATGTCTTGAATTTTTGTCAAATGCCATGTATTCAAAAGGTTGGTAGAATTAAAGGAAAGGCTCAACTTACTCATTGGGCTTGTCTTTTCCATTGATTGACAGCTAACATTCTGGTCAGACATTCCCTTGTTTTATTTTGCCTGGCTATAGTTCTTTCTACTTCATACTAATTAGAGTCCCCTCTGACTTGACTTGCAGATACCTTCCCAAGTAGTTGCCTTCCCAGCTCTCTGTCATTTTTTTTTGTTTGTTTGTTTGTTTCCCTTTTAAAGCTGTTCTTGGTTGTTCTTAGTGTGTCCTAATGTTTAAGCAGCTTTTCCACCTCAGTCTTCCCCAAAATATTTTTACATGAAAGGAGCTATGATTTGGATTTATTAAAAACATTTCCTATTAATTTCATGATTATTTAAAACATATGGAAAGATCAATACGTGTGAAATGGAAAAGGACAGTTGAGGAAAGGAATTTTATTTTCATGTTTGTAAGAACATATATCAAAGACTGGAAAGTTTTCTTTTCTCAAAATAAGTAAACTATTTTTTAACAATGACTTACAGATTTACCGTCTTAATGTAATTTAATTTGTCTGTTATACATCAAAGTTAAGTTCTCTTTTAAATGCAAAGCTTACAGGAATACAAAATTATTGTTGCAAATTTACATATATAAATTTCGGGAAATGTGGATCTTTGTCATTGTTGTCTCTAATGTTATATTATCATATTTTCTAAGGCAGCAAGAACAAAAAGTGTAAAGCTTTCTTCAGGTGAAAAAGGCTTTATAATTCTGCTCTAGAATTACTATTGACATGCAGAACTTACCTATATCAGTGCAATGTTATGATATGCTAGCATATAATGTGAAGATGTATAACAGTAAAGAGCCTTCAGTGGAACTGAGTTCTAGTCTTGGCCTTCATTTCTTAGTCAAGTCACTTGAGCTCATCATGCCCTGGTTCCATACGTGTAAGAAGAGCATAATTATAGAGGATTACTTCTCTTGGTAAGCATGGGCCCTTATGCAAATGAATGCCAAGGATGAGGAAGACACTAGCGCCAAGAATCTCATGTGTTTCATTTTTCCAGTAATGGAGAGTGTTGTGCCTGCTTCATTACTCACCTGTCTTACTTTTTAATACAATGATTTGACTGAAAAACATACTTGTGCACTCTGAAATTTTATAAGTGGGGAAATACTTATTCCTTGTGTTGTGGGTCAGACATAAGTGATGTTTATGATGCCCTGTATACCTATGATCCAGAAATGTCTCTTCTGGTCCTATGGTCATTGGCTCACTCTCTACTTGATTCTCACCTAACTCAATGAAGGATGACTGAAGACTGAGCTCTACATGAGCCAGACTTTTTATAACTGGGTTAGCATGGCACATAAAAGACATGGGGAGTAGTGGGATGACATCTTGAGGGAGCTGGGTCCTCCTGTCTGTGGAGGATCTACCTAGACACCAGCTAGCATCACTGCAGGCAGCTGATCTCTGCAAGTGCCAGCCTCCTCAGGGTGTGGCTGGGTGTGGCTACTTACCACCCTTTCCTTGACTGTTGAGATTCATATGTGGTTCTTTGGCACTTGTGGAAATTCTGTAAGCCAGTTGACACTGGCCTCAAACTTCTGAGAAGTGGATTCTGTTGTCTGCAAGTAAGATCCATG